AGAGCTGGAAAATGGCTCAAAAATGCCACATGAGCTAACAGATTTTTGAGCCATTTTCTAGCTCTATAGCACTTCATTGAAAGCTTTTATGCAGAAAAGAAATTTTAAAAAGGGCTGCTACGCAGGAGTACGCGATCATACTCTTTACCCGGTCTTTTATTCGAAGAAATACGGTAGATTGCTTTCTCATTTCAAAGAGAAACACAAAATTTATCTCGTAAAACAATACTTTCAATTAATCTGATAAAAAAATGATTTGAAAACGAAAAAGAAACGACGACGCGGCGCTCCCATCGACTACCTCCAAATGGCGGCGACGTCAATTGGAATAAGACGTTGCGCAAAAATTAACATTTAAAATTTGCGACAGGAATTCAAATTTAACATAAAAACGTCACGAAAAACCCGAAAAACATTTTTTTTCTTTTTGAACGTCATTCTCTATTAGGTTTTCACAAAAAATTGAACGGTATCTTGTGAAATTTTACTTTATAAATAGAAATAAGTAATCTAGAAAGACAAAAAAGAATACTACTATAGTTTAAAAAGCGTTTAATTTACCAATCGATCTTCTAAACAAAAAAAAGCTTTGAGATTGGATGAACTAGCCAAGATTTAGACTCAAATAAGACCTAATAAAATGAAAATTTAAACTTAAACTTGTTTTTAAGTAAAAAAAAAAACTCTGCATAGAATCTATTTCCGATTTTCAACTTAAAATTCATATGAAAGCTTTTAAATAAACTATGGTTTTTCAATAAAGCGAAGCGAATAGTGGAAGAAAATTTTTGCACGAAAATTATCAAGGAAACGCATTCCAACTTTAACTTTTCAAACTGTCAACAAAATTTTCAAAATTTTCGTGAAAACAGCAATTTGACTCTTGGATTTGTACCAGTTAATTTTTTTGCACGAAAGTACTAAACATTTTGTCGCCTTGCTTGCTCTTGCTTTATTTTTCTACTGATTTTTCTACAGATTCTAGCTAATTCCAGTGAAATTTGCTTTTAAATTTCCCATTTTCTCCCATTTCTCCCATGAACGGGTCTTTATCTTCGTTTTTTTTATGTACAAGTGTAAGGAAATGTTTAGTACACGACAAAAAAACTTAAAGAACGATCAGAAAATGATCTAGGAAACGAAAGATGAAATTTGGAAGAAAATTAAGTGAATTTTGGATCGATTTCATTTTGGGATAGCTTTTAGAGTAGCTTAGAGAGCAACTTGGCTCTTGGATTTGTACCAGTTAATTTTTTTGCACGAAAATTATCAACGAAACGCATTCCAACTTTAACTTTTCAAACTGTCAACAAAATTTTCAAAATTTTCGTGAAAACACGAGTGAAACAATTGGAAATTTCGAAAAAAACAAAAAATGACGCTAAACTAGGAAAAAGAAATGAGTTCCGGAACAAAAAAAGCTGAATTGGATGAACTAGTCAAGATTTAGATTCAAATAAGACCTAATAAAATGAAAATTTAAACTTGAACTTGTTTTTAAGTAAAAAAAAAAACTCTTCATAGAATCTATTTCCGATTTTCAAGTTAAAATTCATATGAAAGCTTTTAAATAAACTATGGTTTTTCAATAAAACAAAGCAAAGTTTAAAAAGTTAAAAAGTTAACAGTAAAGTTAAAAATTCTGACTCAAAACTGCATAAAAAGATCAAAAAAAAACAATCATTCATCCTATTTTTCGTCAGAAATAACAGGATATTTCCGGAGGGAAAAAGTTCACGCGAGAATCGCGTGTGTTTCACAGAAAAGGAGATGAGGAGAGCCCTTTTTAGACATAAAAAGGGACCCCTTCTCTAATTGGCCCCACTTCCCCCACACATCCATCCACAAACCACAGCCACAGTACAAAATAATATAATAAATTCTTTGTAATCTATCTATAAAACAAATAGAAAAAGCCTTAAATTCAGCGCTTCAACTAACTAAATTATTTCATTTGACTCAAAAAAAAGTTTGTAACTTGTTTTTTTAAGGTTTAAACATAGAATTGGGCTAGTTTCTGGATTTTAAAGACTTATTACTTTTTAGTACAGTATAAAAGATACAAAAAAATTGTAGTCAGCGTTATAAAATATTAAAAAAAATTGAATGAACACAGGAATCAAAGAGATACAGTTGAGTTTTTAAGCTCTAACTTAATAACTTATACAAAACCAATTTAAAGCAATCAATGATAACTTTTAACGACTATTCTCATAACAAATTCAGCTTCTTTACCTTCTTAAATCATTCATCCATAAAGCATTTTCAAGAAAAGTCACCCAACCGGTAATGGATTTTTTTATTGGTGAGCAAAACCTATGAAAGTGTAGAGCTAAAGCCAAAAAAAGCTGAAGAGGTTGGAGTGGAAAGATGTGGAAGGAGTGGGGTCACTCTTCCATCCACCTCAATCCACGGCTTCTTGGCTCTTGTCCCTCCCCTTCCCCCTTTTTGCCTCTCTTTGTTAGACGCAGTACGCGACGCGTCAAAAGTCGCTTTTCTATGGGTCGTGAAATAATAAATATCAATGCTGGAGTGGTGCTTTGACCCTTTAGTAGTAGTCTTTTCAGTTTAGACCAAGTAGTTCTTGATATTGTGTCACAACATTCCTTGTGGTAACCTTAGAATTCGATTCGCAGCTTAGAATGTATTACCGTATTCTCTCTAATAGTAGTGCACCCCGCCGAGCCGAGTTGATGACTATTTTACGGTTTCTAAGTTTTCACAGAAGCTCAACATTTAAATCCCCCACAAGATCTCATCGTCAGCTACATTTTCCGAGCCCACATCGATAGGTTCTGATAAGCGCTTTTCGAGATTTCAAGGAATTTAGGCGACGCTCAGGGTGCACTAGTATTAGAGAGAATACGGTATCTGTCATTATTTAGATTTTAAAAAAGCTCTAACAATTAGAATTTATGCAACGCTGCAGTATTAGAGGGAATACGGTATGTGGGATAGTCAGTGCAAGTTGTAAACTTATTAAACAACTTACAAAGGGCTTGAAAGACAAAGAGCCTAAGCCTTGAAAAAAGACCAAGTCTAAGAGTGAAATGTTTTAGGCTTTGGTTAAGAAGTAGATCTATTAGGTTGGATCATATGAAATGTTGATTAAATGAGAAGTTTTATGGCTTTTGGATCGCAAAAACATGTGTGTTCCTTCTGGGGATTGGACACACTGATACGCCGCTTCGGTTCATTTACCCAAGTTTAACGTCATTGTCGTCAAACCTTGATTTTCCTGCTTGTTTCACCATAGAATTCTCTCATATAGACTAACAGACTAACTTTGATATAGACTAACTCTAGTAATGCTGCTACTGCTATTAAACTACTACTGCTACTGCTACTGCTATTAATGCTATTAATGCTATTAAAGAAACATATATTTTTATGGTGAAACACGGACTTTAAAAGTCAGCTTTTTTAAGCTGACCATTCTTGGTAAATTCACCATAAAAATTGCTCGATATTTCAATATTAATATAGAAAATGTTTCTAGTATCTACTTTTAAAAAATGAGAAAAATCTATGGTGAATTGAAGGAATGGGATCATGGTAAAGTCATCAACATTTCATATAGACCAATCTAATAAAATAAATTAGTATGCTAGTAATGCTGCTACTGCTATTAAACTGCTACTGCTACTGCTACTGCTATTAATGCTATTAAAGAAACATATATTTTCATGGTGAAACACGGACTTTAAAAGTCAGCTTTTTTAAGCTGACCGTTCTTAGTAAATTCACAATAAAAATTGCTCGATATTTCAATATTAATATAGAAAATGTTTCTAGTATCTACTTTCAAAAAAATGAGAAAAATCTATGGTGAATTGAAGGAATGAGATCATGGTAAAGTCATCAACATTTCATATAGACCAACCTAATAAAATAAATTAGTATAAGAAAGCTCAATGAGTCTAATAAAGACTTTAAATAACTATTGTTGTGGAAGAAACGCTATTGTTGTTTAGCTTGAAACCTAATCGACCCAAATTCAAGTTTTCCAATCTCAGTCAAGTTCTCATAACTCTTAATCTCTTAGCAACAATAAGCGTAAACGCAAATTTGCACAGAGCACCTCTGCATTGATATGGTTTCAAATGTGCTCCAAAAGCACTCAACGAATCTGCAAATTTGCATTCTCTCCAATGGCTAATAGTAGGGATTGTTTCGTAGCCAAATTTCTCCCGCTCTCACTTCCCCATCGGCACCATCAATCTTCTTCCCATTGGTATCACCCCCAGCCTCTTCCCCTTCTCGAGTACCAACCCGTGCAATCGATTCGTGCACCTCTTTCCCTTTTCTCCTAAAGGTCGGTGCATCTGTTCGTACTCTCTTTTCTTTTCCCCTTCCTACTATGCCATTCTAATTCCCCCATTGTCCCCCTGAGCCTTATTCGATCACCCATTCCTTTCTCCACTGAGTCACCACTTTCGTTTGTGCAGTTTTTGACCATTTACAATTTGCTTATCTTGTTCCTAAACATTTCTTAATCAAGTGTTAATTAGAATGCAAGAATCTCTCCCATTTGTCAGTCAATCAATTTTAACCATCTTGTTTCTCAGCTATATATCCTTGATTGGTTCTTACAATGACTCCAAAGCTTATCGAAGAAGTAAGTTTAAGATTTAAGAAAGGTTAAGATTTCATTTCTAGAGAATACTTGGATTTAAACAACGCTTGACATTTTACTTCTGCACAATTTTAGCCAAGTTACTCACCATCAGTGACTTTAGAACAGTTTCTATAGATAGATTTATCTTTTCCAGCATAGCTTTCTATCATATTCATATGCAACTCCCCGTTTCCCAGCCCGTCTCATCGATTCCTTTCTCATAATTGATTCGATCGCGTGTTTAGTGTCTCATTTCGCATAATCTCCGTGTGTTTAGGCTCAATCTGGGGCATTTCTACTTTATATTGGCGTTAGTGGCGTTTTTGGGGAAAAGATATTGATTCGACTGTAGCATCAAAACAAAGTCCATCGCTACTCACGAATGGATTATGTAAGTTTTCCAGAGGAAATCTATACGAATTAGATTAGAAAAACATAGCAAGAGGAAATTTGGATTTTTTTGGAATATGAAAGGCTTTTCTAGGCTAAAATTTGCATATTAAAGTCAGAAGCTAGATCCTGTCTTTGCCAGAACCTGGCTAGGTCTAGTTTTACTGCAGTTATTGTAAAGTTATTGTAAAGGGTATGAAAGTTAAAGCCTAACATTTTTATATAAAAAATGTGTAAGATGAAGTTATAAACTTAGGTCTAACTAGGTTAGTTTTCTTAGGTTAGTAATGAACTCTCTGAAAAGAAACAGTTTCAGTACGGCGACTACTCGGGTTATTCGGCTAATCAACGCGCTTATCCCTCAGCTCCACCATTGAGAAGCAATGGAACGATTCGACAAACCTCTCGCAAAGTCGACTACTATTCAACGGATACGGTTATATTATTTTGTTTTTAAATCTATCAACTAATTTCAGAACTACTTATGTGTTGTTGCAACTTGTTTAGCCCTTCGTGCTGTTGCCACGCTTTTCATCATCGGCTCTTTGTACTATTTAGTAGGTGGGTGAATTGATAAATAGCCAAAAGCAAAAATAGAAAAGGCTATATCAATTCTGAAGTTAATTTGGAACTAAGGCAGATCAAAAACTTGGTGCAAGCTCACCGTTTAACTGTACTAACCATTACACCACAACGAACTTGACCTCCTTACGCCAGAGGGAGTTAACTTCCCTCCTCTCTGGAAGTTCCACACGTCTCGATTTATTAGTTAGAAGAAGTTAACTTCCTTCAGACTTAACTTCCTCCAGACTTAACTTCCTCCAGACTTAACTTCCTCCAGACTTAACTTCCTCCAGACTTAACTTCCTCTGGAGTCAGGAAGATCAAATGTGGTTAGTGGTTAGTTAAACGGTTCGCACAGTTCATGGTTAGCACAGTTAAACGATAAGCCAAAGGTCACGGGTTCGAGTCCCGGCGGCGCTCAAATTTTTGATCTGCCATAGTTTCAACTGTTATAAAATTTTGAAATCAAACTGTAAAAGGAAAAACTGAACTGCTGCAGACAAATTCCGGTGCAGCTATTTCTACTATGCAAAAACCGCAAATAAGCACCTTGTTTTGTGGAAAGTTTTGTGGAAATTTGTTGAGGAGCGTGACCCCTGTAGACCGGATGGGCATTTGTGCAAACACGGGAAGGGAAGGGTGCCTCCTCTAGCCCATCCCAGACACTCTTCTCCCCAATACTCGAAGTGCTTGCAGATCTGCGTATTTCTCATCGAAAAGTGACTATTGTCGGCTTTTTTTCTTGCAAAATCAATCTGCAGCAGCAAGCACGCAAACTTTGTAGTTGGTACTATTGGTCACTCTGCTAGCTGCAGGGTTTTAAATCCAAACTGGTCTGAATCTTGTAATTTTGCAATCTAGACAAAGTCAGAAGCTAGATCCTGTCTTTGCCAGAACCTGGCTAGATAGCTTTACTGCAAGCCTGGCCCACAAAAAGTCCCTGGTTCAACCCAGCTTAGACCTGACTTCTAGCCATGTTGTTCTAATTGTAAACTACAATAAAGTTTCAGCTATTATACAATAAAGTATGCACTTTATTGTAGTATGCACGTTTTTGAGTTTAGCTAAATCTGTTATCTGTTATCTGTTAATTAGCTAAAGCTAAACCCAAAAATCTGTTATTCGTTGAAAATGAACTGCATAAAACGATAGCAAAATATGAAATCTATGCAAAGTCTAGACTAAACGAAAAAAGAAAACCCTATTTACTCGAAATCCGCGCAATTTTTCTCTTTGATTAGCCAAGCGATGAGAAATTAGAACATGTGAGTTGAAGGGAGCTCACCATTCATTTCTCATATGGATGAATGAATGGATGGGTAATTGAGATGCATCGAAAACATGAAAATGGGGTTTTTGGAAAGAAAATGGGGTTTAAAAATGAATATTTATGAGATGATATCCATCCGAATTCCAATAAATACATACAAATGGTCTAATGAAAGATCTAGGCATTTGGAAGAAAGAAGATAGTTGTAAGACATTACAACTTAATTTGAGAGATTCTGAGTTTTGATTGATCGATTAGCATTCAATTATATTCTGCTTAACAAGCTGAAGACAGTCATTATTGAAAAAGAATATTCTAGAATTTGAAATATTGGATTGGTGAATTGAAAACTGCCGGCTATTGTCATATGTGACTGTTTGAGGACTTTCTTCAAAAGAAACCCATTTTGGTGTCAATGGAAAAGTTGTAGAGAATCAAAAATCAAACTTATATCCAAATTTTCAGAACGATTCAAAAACTGGTTTTCAAGAAATGCGAAATTTACGAAACTTTCACAAAACTTGCATTTTAAGCAAACTACTAAGTGTATCTTTTTGGAAATTTGGCTATAAGCCTAATTTTTGATTCTCTACAACTTTTCCATTGACACCAAAATGGATTTCTTTTGAAGAAAGTGCTCAAACTGGGACATTGGGACACCTCCAGTCCTCCATTTTTGAGTCTCACACTTGTCTCACACACAAACCAAAATCCAAGTCAAAGATCGTTCTCCTCCACGACAACGCGCGCCCTCACGTTGCAAAACTGACTCGCTCTAAAATACACAGCCTTGTTTGGGAACTTTTGGCGCATTCCCCATACCTCTCCCCTTTTGATTACTATTTATTCTGGATCATGAGTAATGAGCTTGCGGGAGAACACTTCGATTCGGAAGAAGCAGTCAAAAATTGGCTTTGAAAGTTTTTCGATTCAAAACCAAAATCCTACTACGAAAGAGGAATCCGCAAATTGCCTATAAAATGGGCAGAAGTCGTTAATGATAATGGGAATTATTTGGAATGAATTTATGGTTTGATATTGAATAAACAATAGCCCGCAGTTTTCAATTCACCAACCCAATAGATTCTTTGATAGATTTCAATTATTGAATAAATCTATGACCTTATTTTTGAATCTTTAACTTCTTTTACTTAGCTAGATTCACTCTAATGACTTTGCACAAGACTTCACTTCAGAAATCCCCCGATAATAAATGAGATTCATCAAGTAATGAGTGAGGAAACGAGAAGCGATGATGGGAAATCCCCAAAATAAGCTCAAATTGAAGTGTTGTTAGGTTTTGGGCAAAAGGAATAGACAAGAAAGTAAAGAGATATGGCTTGTGTAGGGAAACCCTGGGGATGTGCCCCCTAAATTGGGTGTATCCCATCCTCAATCCCTTTTGCCCTACTCCCTCCAGTGTCCAAAATGGGTCCTCCTCACTTTTCTCTTCTTTTGCCATCTTTCCGCTCATCTTTTTTCTTCTTTTATGTGATCACATGGGGCTAATCCCTTTGCCCAAACAGAGAAATGAACCTCTTCTCGCTGGGATTTAGACTTTCGCCTCTCATTCACTTTTCTAGCCAATGGAAGTCATCGGATCTTGTTTAGGGCTTTACAACGAAAGCAAAATAATTGGAAATGAAATTAGAGGATTTCAATATAATTGTAGATTGATAAAGCATTTCGAATCGATAAAGAAGATAAAGAAAATTTCAGGATCAAGCCACAACCTTCTCGTCCTTATCGGTGGCTTTGAATGTGCGACAATGTTCACAATTTTAATGATGTACTGTGGAGTCTCCAAGTTGAATCCATGGCTTTGTGCTCCGTATGCGGTTTTCAGAGTTGGTTATAAGAGAATGGATCCGATAAATTGTGAAACTTTCAGACTGTCGAATTCTTCTTATGGGGTCTCATCCTTTTCGCACTAATCTTAGCCATTAAATCACCTGAAGGAGAATATTTCACTGAAGCTTACACACTTGTTCGTCTAGGAGCTGAGTATTTAAGGATGACGAATAGTCCGCTTAATTTGAGAGATTGTGAGTTTTGGTTGGTTGATCGATTAGCATTCAATTATACAGGGTGACCAAGAATTATCGCAACACACAGCCTAGCTTTTAACCAAATAAAGCAATCCATCTCGAAAATTGAACTTTAATATCTTTATTCAACATATAACAGTAACAAATTAACAATTAAATTCAAATTTGCCTCCATCGGCATTCAGACAGGCCTGCAAACGTTTGGGAAATACAAAAGCCACGGTCAACGCGATCGTGGCGAGCAAATAGGCATCATCGAAGGTATCCCATGCTTTGATCAGCGCCTTCTTCAAACTTTCGATATTTTTATGTCGTTTTCCACATGCCCTGACTTCAAGAATACTTCAGACTGATTAATCCAATGATCGGGTGAGCTGGAATCCAATGATCCAATTAAGTTCGGGTGAGCTGGGTAGCCACCTGAGAAAACGAGATGAAGTCCGGGAAGGTCTTTGAACAAAACTCTTGCACTTTCTTTGCCTTTTGAGCCGGCTCACCATCTTGTTGATGGTGGGTCGGCTCAAAAGGAAATTCGATTCGATTCGATTTTTGATTTTTGAAGTGGTAACCATAAAAACAGGTAAGCAAAAAGTGAAACGGTGCTCATAGCATAATACGGCGTTGTTGCGGTAATTCTTGGTCACCTGCTTAACAAGCTATTCTGCTTAACAAGCTGAAGACAGTCATTATTGAAAAAATGATTTCATCTTTATATATTAAGAAATTTTAGTGACTTTAAGCCTTTGCTGGGTTGGACTTTTTGTCTCATTGACAGCTCTTGGGTTGGCAAGTGAAGCGATGAGACACGCGTGGGTAACCACAGCTCGAGTTGTTGATTCGGGAAAAGGAAGAAGTACAAGGAGAAGAGATCGAGGAGATTCCGATACAAGAAGGATTATGATTGCTTCCGATGAGTTCAACTATGCATAAACTATAAGTCTCAAGTATTTGCTGTGTAATTGTAAGCTGAGAAAAATGTTTCCAATGAAAATCTGTTGATAAAGTTATAAGAAATAAGAAAATGAAATTAAAATCAAAGTAAAACTCAAAGTAATTCAATTAATTTACAAACTTCCGCTTAGTCTATTCATTGTAAACCATCGTAAAATTCATTTCCTTTTCTAAAACCTGAACTTTTGTATACTCAATCAAAAATTCCAATGTTCTTTGATCATCTTTTCTTTTCACTTACAGTATTTCTGACCCAGTATTCTTTTTTTCTTATGTGATTTTTGCTAAATTCAGTATTTCTTATGAAATCACCCTTAAATCATGACTTTTTTTCGTCCAAATACGGGCTCATTTCATTAAAAATTGCCAATTTTATCTTACAATTGAATAAACTTTTTTGATATTCATTTCATTTACACAAAAGCTAAAGAATATTAAACAAAAGAACTTATAAAAGTTGGAAATGGTTGAGAAAAAGGTTAACAAAAGTTAATCATAACTTTATAGATATTTAAATGTGAGCTTTAAAAAGCTACTAGATAATTTTATCAATTGTTTCAATTGTGAATTTATTAATTTAATCAATATCAAGATCAAAAGTGAAATGAATTGATAATTCACGATTGATAAAAGAAAGTTTTGTCAAAATTTTCGTCTGTTCGTCATTCGTCTGATCGTCTGATCGTCATTCGTCTGATCATCATTCTTCTGATCGTCATTCGTCTGATCATCATTCGTCTGATCGTCATTCATCTGATCGTCATTCGTCTGATCATCATTCTTCTGATCGTCATTCATCTGATCAATTTTCGTCTGATCTCGCTTACAAGCTCTAGAGCTTGGTTGAAAAATCCCTAATAAGCTTTCATTATGTTGCTTTATGCTGTATAAGCTCTAGTTTGTAACAAACTTAATAACAAACTCTGTTTTATGTCTAGCAATGGCTTTAAGGCTTTCTTGTTTAAAAATTTGCCAATTGTGTGAAAGAAAGTTTAGAGGTGTTTCAACAAGTTCTTTGATTTTCCTTTGATTTCAAAACTTCAAAAGAATTTGTGATGCATTTAGATTGATTCTGTACTTTGCTGTACATTTAGATTGATTCTGTATTTTGCTCAAGTTTACTCAAGTTACTCAATTTAAATATTTGGAAAACAACTAGCCTATAATATATTTGAAATGAAGAGAAGAATATGAGAAGCTGAAAAAAGAAGAGGGATGTTTATTTAATCGTTTATTTTCTAGTTTATTCAATAGTTTATTTTCTAGTTTATTCAATAGTTTATTCAATAGTTTTCAATTCAAATTTCAATTCAATAGTTTTCAATTTCAAATCAAATCAAAACTTCAATTCAATTCAATAGTTCCAGAACATTGACGACATCAAAAAATGGGTCTCTGCTTTCTTCAGAAAAACCGCCCCGAGGTTTGCTTTTTCTAGTTTTTTTTCTAGTTTACTCACGACATTTGCGCTGAATACACAGGTCAGTTTCAGCTGAATTTATGTAATTTAACTAAGCTTTTAAGCTTTTTCTTTTCATTAAAACTGCTAATATGTCTTTCTTGTTTTTATAAAATTTTATTTACGAGTGTAAATCTTCATTTAATTGAACCATTTAATTGAATCATTTAATTGAATCGTTTAATTGAACGATTTAATTAAACCATTTAATTGAATCATTTCATTGAATCATTCAATTAAACCATTTAATTGAATCATTTCATTGAATCATTTAATTAAACCATTTAATTGAATCATTTAAAAAGAATTTCAAACAAACATATGAATCAAATTGATTAAAGTTCGTGGTAGAGCACCGAATGAGTTCTCGGAGAGCTGAAATTCAAATTTACTCAATAAACGAGTCTCTGACAAAGTTAAAATTGTTTTTAACCAAATGATTGACAATTTTAGAGACAATTTTAGACAATATTAAAAGACAGGCATCGCTTGAATGCATTTGAAAGCAAGATTTTAAACAATAAATCATTTCCACAACCACTCTTGTTATTTTTGGTGCATTTTTATAATTTTGAATTGTTAAACAGAGACAATAAGGCAAATTCAAAGCATTTATTCAAAGCATTCACTCCTTGAGAACCACAGAGATCTCCGGACCTGCCACTGCCCATTTCGTTCCGTCACTGTTCTACAAAGCCATTGTTAGTCGAAAGCTGTTAGTCTTATAGATTAACAACAGATTCAGTCAATAGATTCTTTCTTTGCAAACCTCAACGACGCGTTCTCTCTCATCCGGACTGAAATATCCACCAACGTCAGCCTTTTGAAAACTGTAGATGATTAGTGATCCGTTGTTGAAAACTCTCGAGCGAGACGTTGATGAGATGACGTTTCCTTTCTAAATGGATAGAGATTTATGACTCTAATGACTCTAATATCTGTAAATTTACCTCATCACTCCAATGAATGCATTTGTTCGAGTTATCGTTGTCCGCACAAGCTTTCAAGTATTCTTTCTTTCCACCAACTGTTCGACCCCATGTTCTCACCTCTGTTCCCAACTCCAATTGAGTAAATTGATTCAACTAAATGAAAACTTTACTGGTATTCTTTAAAAGCTAAGATGAAGCTCTTCTACAAATTACTATATTGGAACCGTATTGGAACCGTATTGGATCAAAAAAGGAACCGTATTGGAACTGTATTGGATCAAAATAGGAACCATATTAGAACCGTATTGGAACCGTATTGGATCAAAATGGGGACTATACTGGAACCGTATTGGAACTGTATTGAAACCGTATTGGAACCGTATTGGAACCGTATTGGAACCGTATTGGAATCGTATTGGATCAAAATGGGGACTATACTGGAACCGTATTGGAACCTAACCAGCATCGAAATACAGTACAGTATTTTGATTGATATTTTTCTATATCTAAATGGTACCGATGAGTCTGATAATTGAAAACAATGTATTTTTTTACAAACCTCTGCTTGAAGAATAGCCACTGATGCCAAACTGATCACAACTAATGCTCCAAATATTGGAAAATATTTGATCATCACTGAAACAATGAAAAATAGACTTTCAAAATACTCAAGATATCACAAGATAAAAAAGATTGAATCAATTGATTGATCAAACTAAGGAATTATCATCTCATTGAGAGAAAACCGATTTCGGAAAAGGAAAAACTAACATTTATCGAGAGATTCGAAAGGTTTTTGTTAGCGAAATGAAAAGAAAAAATAAGTTTATGATGGGAAATCTTTCTTTTAAGTCTTTTTATAGTCCTTTTATAGTCCTTTTTAAGCGTAATCTCATCTTGTTTGCTTGTTTTTTTGCTTTTTTTGCTTTTTTTGCTTTTTTTTCTCTTTCAATTGAAAATTTTTGGAAAAACATTTGAATAGATCTAGTGAATACTAAAATTGGATTGTGTTTTCGAATTGAAAAGAGCAAAATTTGAAAAGAGCTGTGTAACCACTGAGAAAACGAGATGATGTCCGGGAAGGTCTTTGAACAAAACTCTTGCACTTTCTTTGCCTTTTGAGTCTTAAATTCAAATTTGCCTCCATCGGCATTCAGACAGGACAACGTTTGGGAAACGCGTTGACCGTCGTGGCGAGCAAATAGGCATCATCGAGGGTATCCCATACTTTGATGAGCGCCTTCTTCAAACTTTCGATATTTTTATGTCGTTTTCCACATGCCCTGACTTCAAGAATACTCCAGACTGATTAATCCAATGAGTTAAGATCGGGTGAGCTGGGTAGCCACCTGAGAAAACGAGATGAAGTCCGGGAAGGTCTTTGAACAAAACTCTTGCACTTTCTTTGCCTTTTGAGCCGGCCCACCATCTTGTTGATAAATCCAAATTCGATTTTTGAAGTGGTAACCATAAAAACAGATAAGCAAAAAGTAAAATGGGGCTCATAGCATCAAGCCTTTTCTTTTGATGTTTATTCTAATTTTTCTCTAATACATTCTATTATTATTAAATAAGAGAAATCAAAATCATAAAGGAATTATTTTTTTTTTGTTTAAATGAGTATAATATTCTATTTATGTTGTTTTAAGTGCTGGATTTATGTTTAGGAATCGTTGTTAGAAGAATGTTACACTTTTGAATCAAGTCTAACTTGCTTGATCTCTTTTAAACATTTCATTTTAACTAAAAAAAACTTTAACAAAGTTTATAAATGAATATAAATGATTCGCTTCTATTTGCTCCTAAATAAAGCAGATATAATAGGTTGATGCATAAGTCTTTTTGTTTCTTTTCGTCTGCCGTTTCAAGCCAACAAATGCACGAATTAAACTACGGTTGATTTCATTAGAAAAAGCAATTATTTTTCTGCAAAATAACATTAAAACGGGTTTAAAAATATTTAATGCCTGGATTTTCTTGAGAGTATGAAGTCGGGTAGTCAAAAAGGGCTAACTCGATGATGCGGTTTAGACACCTTAGCTAAAGAAAACCTATCTTCGTTTCAATAGATAAAAGATAGAGAAAAAAAACGTTTGATATTTCGCCAAAATTTCAGAGAAATTCATTTAGCCAATTTTTCCGTAGAGTTTTTTATAGATTTTTACGAAAAAGGCGTTTTTCACTCTCGAATTTGCTTGAAAGTGAACCGAAATTCATTTAAAAAGATGCAAATTGAACAAAAAAACACTTTTTTTATAGAGCAAACTATAGATTAATTGGTGAATTTGTTACTTTTTAGCAGAAGTACGAAAAAAACGAAAAGACTTATGCATCAACCTAATATAATACGAAAATGATAGAAAAAACATGGATTAATATATATAGATACTTTATTCAGGACCTGAGATAAAGTGCGCTAGATTTAAGATTAAACCACATGAATTCATTACACACAACACGAAAAGGGCCGATAAAAAGCAACACGATATAATGTATGTAATATATGGGTAGCACAGATAACGTCAAGGATCCACTAGAGCTTCAGGATCAAGATCATTTACAGATAAAGCAATATATGGGTAGCACAGATAACGTCAAGGATCCACTATAGCTTCAAGATCAAGCTCATCTACAGATAATTTAAACGTTTCGAGACTATTGGACTCTCTCAAAACTCGATTCCAAATTCTGGCAGTTCTTTTTGGAAAAGAGTTATGCACACCCGCTCGGGCGCTTTGAAAAAAACGAAATACTAAAAAACTTTTGCGACTACGCGACTGTACGAGAGGGGTACTATTACAGTATTTACGGTTTTTATAAATATTTTCTTATAAATCTAACTAAATTTTGCAAGATATTTATTGAATTTAGTTGAAATGAAAGATTTTTATTATTTGAATATAGATACTTTATTCAGGACTTGAGATAAAGTGCGATAGATCTTTAAGATTAAAACACATGAATTCACTACACATAACACGAAAAGGGCCGATAAAAAGCAGCACGATATAATACATGTATATCGTGTATGATTAACAAAAAAAATTTTTGAGAATTGAATGTCTGTGAATCAAGGATTGAATGAGTGAATCAAGGAAGTCGAGAAGTCTTTACAAAATAGAATCCACAAGTGGAAATGTAAACGATTGGGAAAGAAAAATAAAATAAACAAGAAACGAGTCGGGAGGGGAAAAATGCGAGAAATGATTGTCCAGAAAACGAATTGATTTTGAATTACTGCATAATTGGTCTCTCAAAACAATTTTTTAAGGCCTCGATATTAAAGCTCTAGAAGCTCTAGAAACTTTATCTGCTAGAAACCAAAACAAGACTCTTTAAAGAAGTCTTTACAAAATAGAATCCACAAGTGGAAATGTAAACGATTGGGAAAGAAAAATAAAATAAACAAGAAACGAGTCGGGAGGGGAAAAATGGGAAAAATGATTGTCCAGAAATTGAATGATTCTCTCTTTCAAGAAGAGCTAAACTTTGATTTTGGGAAAATGAATAAAATTGTTTTTGCAATGTTGAAAGAGAGCTTTTGAATTTATCCTTAAGAAGAAAACGAATCGATTTTGAATTACTGCATAACTTTATTCTGCTAAAAACCAAAACAAGACTCTTTAAAGATTCTTTAGAAAATGGGTTGCTGGTCAGCTATTTCTGTTTTTCTGAAAAAGTGTTTTGGTTAAAAAAATGTTTTGCGAGATGATTTTTAGACCTCTTTCCTATGTGTTTGTCCATTTTCCATATCATGTCATTAGAGTAATTAGAGTACTCACTATTTGAAAGGTAGCATAAATCATAGTAATTGAAAATCCCAAAATCAAGTCCCAATTAAGGACCCGATTCTGGAATAAAGCCCAATTTTTAAACTCTTACATTTTTTTGTATACTTCTCTTAAGCATTTATAGTTTCAAGCTTGACGCCTTGAAGGATCACTACAGATTTTTAAGTGATCGCAAAGAAGTCGCAAAGAAGTACCGGAATCTTGCCTCAAGTCAAAATTGCCACAAAAGTATTGTCACTGAGAATTTTGTTCATTGATTATCATTGATCATTGATAGACTGATTTAGACGGCGTACATGCCAAGTTTACTTGCCGAAAATCAAAAAAAAAAAAAAAAAAAAAAAAAAAAAAAAAAAAAAAAAAAAAAAAAAAAAAAAAAAAAAAAAAAAAAAAAAAAAAAAAAAAAAAAAAAAAAAAAAAAAAAAATTAAAAAAAAAAAAAAAAAAAAAAAAAAAAAAAAAAAAAAAAAAAAAAAAAAAAAAAAAAAAAAAAAAAAAAAAAAAAAAAAAAAAAAAAAAAAAAAAAAAAAAAAAAAAAAAAAAAAAAAAAAAAAAAAAAAAAAAAAAAAAAAAAAAAAAAAAAAAAAAAAAAAAAAAAAAAAAAAAAAAAAAAAAAAAAAAAAAAAAAAAAAAAAAAAAAAAAAAAAAAAAAAAAAAAAAAAAAAAAAAAAAAAAAAAAAAAAAAAAAAAAAAAAAAAAAAAAAAAAAAAAAAAAAAAAAAAAAAAAAAAAAAAAAAAAAAAAAAAAAAAAAAAAAAAAAAAAAAAAAAAAAAAAAAAAAAAAAAAAAAAAAAAAAAAAAAAAAAAAAAAAAAAAAAAAAAAAAAAAAAAAAAAAAAAAAAAAAAAAAAAAAAAAAAAAAAAAAAAAAAAAAAAAAAAAAAAAAAAAAAAAAAAAAAAAAAAAAAAAAAAAAAAAAAAAAAAAAAAAAAAAAAAAAAAAAAAAAAAAAAAAAAAAAAAAAAAAAAAAAAAAAAAAAAAAAAAAAAAAAAAAAAAAAAAAAAAAAAAAAAAAAAAAAAAAAAAAAAAAAAAAAAAAAAAAAAATAAAAAAAAAAAAAAAAAAAAAAAAAAAAAAAAAAAAAAAAAAAAAAAAAAAAAAAAAAAAAAAAAAAAAAAAAAAAAAAAAAAAAAAAAAAAAAAAAAAAAAAAAAAAAAAAAAAAAAGCGGTTATTTGGGTTTGGGCAAAGTAGGGGGATTCTTGCAATTAGATCCTCTAATCACGCTCTAGAAGCGCGCACTTTGGAGCCATGAAACTCGGCTTCAAACGCATTTCCCCAAGCTCTCATTGTGTTTTTCGGAATCTACGCATAAAACTATCGCAGAAAAAATGATTTTGGAGAAAAGAAAATAGTGCGCTTATTTTCTCAACCACCAATCTCTTTTTATCTCTTAAATTGTTTATATTTTATTCTGCGAACGTTAAACTGTGCCATTTTTCACTCAAAAAATTGAACAAAAACCAGAAATTCTTTTTGGAGAAAAATAAATGACTCAGTGAGAAAAAGAAGATGAAAATGAGTAAACAGAGAAATTGTTCAAAATTGATCAAACTTTTGAGATCGATGACTCAGAGAACTCCAAGAATTTGGCTTAAGAAAAGATCTTTCTTAGTAATTGATTTGCTAAGTAATTGTATTGAAAAATTTATTTTCAATGATTATTCTTGGATGAAGACGTCGACGACAGGTCCGGCAACTCCACCAATGCCTCCACCAGGGACCTAGAGCTTTCCTCAAGCTTGTTTGAAAACAGTTATAGTTTTTAAAAAGACTAAATATTCCAGTCTAAAAGCCTTTTCAGCTAGACTATTGTCAGTCCTTGGCTAATAAATTCACAATATTTTTGAAATCTCACCGAAAATGTCCGCCCCTTGATCTCAGGACTTGAATAAGTACCAACATCCGACTTTCCAAAGTGATAAATGTGAAGCGTCCCATTGTTGAAAGCTCTTGATTTTGGACTTGACAATAAAACGACTCCATCCTATAAAGATCATATCATATCTTTTTTCCATTTCCCATTCACCTCATCCGACCAATGCGTGCATCGATCCGAGTTATCGCTGTTGGCGCAAGCTTTCAAGAACTGCACTTCTCCGCCATTGAGTTGTCGTTTCCAAGTCCTTGCATCAGGACCAAATGGGATCTCGATAAAGTCACCAATCTGAATCATTGAGAGATTTAAAGATATCTTAGAGTTACCTTTGCTGGATATTGCATAATCGAGCCAGCACTGACAACGATCAATGCAGCAAACACCAGGAATTTCATTTCTTAGCCCAATTTTCTGAACAATTAATGAATAAGAATTGGAAAATGAACATTTCCTGATTCATTTAATTGTTTATAGCCTTCGATTTTCAAGGTCTTTTCCTATCAAATCATTTTTTACGTGTTATGATTCACATCATTGACCGAAAGAGATATGGAAAGGATTTCAATTGAGCAAACAAAAGTGAAAAACTTGAATAATAGTTGAGATTGTTTAGATCAGTTTTACAATATTTTATTAACCAGAAGCTTCGCATCAAAAAGTTTTGAGCACAAAAGCAAAAGAATTGGTGGTCCAACAGAGGAGACGAACCCGCCACCTCTCTCTTCTGTTTCGTTTGAAAGACACGCGCGTTAGCCATTCGGTTATGCCCTTTTAGTGGACGGCGTAGTGTGAGCGCACTTGTCTCTAGCTCACAATGACCCGAGTTCGGCTCCCGCCCGCGTCGGCACCTTTGGTTTTTTAAAAATTTGAAAACATATTGCACAACTACATAAAATTCTAAGCCAAACGAACTATAAATCATTTGAAACGGTCCACTGGACGCGAAGGAGTAGTGCGTAGAGACAGACATACATACAGACAGACATACATACAGACCTACAGACAAACAGACAGACATACAGAGAGACAGACATACAGACAGACAGTCGTCTTAGTCCCTTTATCTATCGTAGATGTTTTGAGTTCTGTAATAACTTGAAAAGTATTCTGAAATGTGTAAAAACATCAGATTCACGGTTGAACGCTGATAGTGATGATGCTGAAGGGAATAATTATAAGATAAACATTTAATTGAAAGAAGACGCTTGAAAAAAGCCATAAAACACAATAGAAGAGTTTAAGCTCCTTGTTGTAATTCCTTTCCCTCCAGAATCTTTGTTTTAAATTTCACCGTCATTCAAAGAGTCATCTTCTCATCACTTTTCTACTTGACTGTACTCGAATTTGATCTAATTTCAATATAGTTTTTTATCTTAAAAGTTCAGATTTCTTATTTACCATTGCCAGTTTTTGCTTTCATTTGATTGCTTTTCTTTTGTAAATCCTTTATAACAAAAACAAACGTTTTCCCCTATAAAAAGAATCAAAATATCACAGTTTTGAAGAGTGAAATATAAAGAAATACCCGAGAAATGGTCTAACAAGTAGATAGTTTAAAAATAAAAATAAGAAAAATTTTGATTCAACTCGATTTCATCATTCAAGGCTGATTTTAAATGCACTAAAAAGAAACGATTAAAGGCGAATTTTCAAATCGATTACAGCTATCAAGTTTTTCAAATCCTATCCAAGTTTATTGATTTGCATCTTCTTTTCGATAACTCTTTGTGTGGAGTAGATGAATGAGTCGATGAGTGAAGCAACGGTGAAGACACCACCAACAATTGCACACAAAGAGACCAACCATTCCGAGAGGGATCTTAGATTTTGATGGATTTTAATGGATTTTAATGGATTTTAATGGATTTTAATGGATTTTAATGGATTTTAATGGATTTTAATGGATTTTGTTATCTACTTTCAAATAGATTACAGCTATCAAGTTCATCTATTTGAAATCAAAGTCCATCAAAATCTTAGATCTATAATATTATTCACTTTCTTTCGCTAAACTGTAAGACTCACTGTCTCCTTTCCTCATATCGGACCATCAATGGGCTGAACTCGTATTGAACAAAGACACCTGGCAATCCGGCTACACCTTGGCCTGGAAATTTATTTCTTGTCTTCTTTTCTTGATAGGATAGTGATAGTGTTTGATAGTGTTAATAGTTCTTGATAGTTCTCATTTCTTAGATAGTAATAGTTCTTGATAGTTCTCATTTCTTAGACAGTAATAGTTCTTGTTAGTTCAATTCATCGCTAAAGCTTGTAAATCAAGCCAGGCTTCAGACAAACTTTTTACGAATCAATCCTGCTGTAAGGCCAGCTAGATCAGGATCTAACTTTAGATCTGGTTTAGACTCATCGTTCTTTAGAGCAATCCTTGACAATAAAATGTTTCATCTTTTTACAAACCTAATTGCTTTGGATGTGTAGTGACAGAGAATTGATGACTCGCCTCGGTGTTTCCATTCAAATGCACATAAGATGTAGGCACAACTTTCACATAGTATTGATACATAATCCCACCTGAAAAGCGTGAGAAATTTTGAAAGATCTATCTTTGCTCACCTTTAGCACTTTCAAAATGTTTTTGATCTAATGGATAAGATTTCCCAGGGTAATGAGTGCCGAATGAGAGATGATGAATGGTGTGGGAACAGTCGAATTTCGTTGGATCCATCGAGTGAAGATCGTGGACTAAAGATCGTGGACTAAAGATCGTGAACTAAAGAAAATGACTTTATTTACATTAAAAGATCTTTATTCTAAGATTAATATCTTTTTTTGTACTCACCATGAGCTCTCATTGTTCGATGTGGATCACCAGGCGCCAGATGGAAATTCCCAGCCACTTTTGCGACTTGAACTTTTCCATAAACTCGACAACCTTCATCTTTGTACTCGAGAAGTATTTTCACCCAGGGATCATTCTAAAATTGAGCTAGATTCTGAAAGATTACGAAATTTCCTTAGTTTAAAAATTTGCACAATACAAACCTTGCATTGTTCAACAGTTTGTGCATCCATTTGCCAGCCTCTAATGTGATAAGCGTCTTTCACTTCCTCGCAAGTATTACAGCAACTAAATTACCGCATTTTATTACAGCAACTTACGATTAGCAAGCCTTGAGCTTTAAGCTTAATTTTGAAAATTCATTAAATGCTTACCTCCCATCTGGTAAAGCTCCATAACAACTGCCGCACTTTGGCGTGGTTGGCGCCAACGCCACTTCGCCGGTTTTGTTCTGATTGACTTCTAAAACTCGCTCAAATACAGATAATACAATTATTTACAGAAAAAAACGTAGTACAAACAATACAAAAGCACAATTCCTAAGCCCTAAATAATCTAACAATAATCTAGCCGGCGGGATTGAACCCTCGAGTCTTGACTAAGATCCAAAGCTCTTAGTCAGTCAGCCTCGACGTCTTGACTAAGATCCAAAGCTCTTTCTCAGTCAGCCATGACGGCGGAGAGATTTACAAACCAATTTTATTCGGTGCCGTCATGTTGTTCCCATGTTGATCGACTCGAACTTTGTAAATGTCGTCTTGGATATTGTCCTGATTATCGCTACTCACATCCATCACATCAACTGTCACAACTGGAAATTAGATAAATAAATAACTTAAGGAGTACATTAGTATCTTCAGCTTAAAACTGCCTTTTTCACTATCAGGGATTATGCCTACTTGCTCTTTTATGATAAAAATTTATTGTTCTCTAAAATTGGTTTGTAAATCTCTCCATTCTCCGCCGCTATGGCCGACTGGCTAAGCGCCTTTTATCTTAGCCAGTAAATATAAACATAAATATTCTCTTTCTCTTAAAAGTAAACTCACAAGGACAAGGCAATTTCTGGAAAGTGATATCGAAATTCACATGGACTCTTTGATCGGAAGTTGTTGAATCAACAAATAATTGTTCAGCTACATCAGTTCTTAGAAATGAAGTCGTTTCACTGATTGCTAAGATAATAATCGTAATCCCAGCAAGTACAGTAACTAAAAGAGATTTAGAAATCTTTTCTTCATTATTATTTCTAACCTGCACCCCCAGTTAGCGTCTTGACTCGAAAATCGTCTAACGGCTTCGTGTAAGCATCGAAATCCCGTAATCGAGTGAGGAAGCCGCTCATCTAGAAGAAAAGGTTTAAAAACTGCTATAAAGTTCTCAAAAAGTTGTAAAATCTAATAAACGTCGACAAATTCTAAAGACTACGATTGGAAAGAAGTCAATTGGATTGGTGACAGTAAAGGGAAATTCGTTGTGAGACCAGGCAAATGGTGGAAGGAAGAGAGGGAAAGAAAGAAGGAAAGAAAGAAGGAAAGAAGAACTCCAACTAGATAAAATTGTTGATTCATTCGAATTTAAAGTTATAAGAAACAAAGTTTATAAACTTTATAAACGAATTTCTTACTTGAACTAGAGTGAAACTAAACTGCCAGTTTTACAAGATAAAAAGGAATTCTTGCATGTATAACCAGAATAAGCTTATCTCTTGATTCAGTGTTGAAGATTTGAGTCTGTTTGACTTTCGCTTGACTTGTTTGACTTCTATTCTCTTGTTAGATCTAGCCAGGAAACAGAAATCATTCCAGAAATGGACACAAATGAAGCTTTTACATCGCTTTAGGCTAATGGAGTAATGGATTGATGGGAATGTGATGGATTGAGAGAGGGAAAGTGATTGAGATGGGACCACCTGACCATTTCTTGTCTATCTTTCCATTCACCCGCCAGAAATCCCATTCACCAATGTCCCTAAAAATCGAAATCTCGTAATGAATCTCTACATTTTGACGTTTTTTATTCTAACCTACGTTGCAAGGTACTTTTTTTTTTGATTTACTCAAATAGAAAGCTTGATAAGTATCAGATAATTTCTTGAATTCAACAAGTTGTATTGTGCCTTGAAGTTGTAGATAAATTGTAGTTGTAGTTGTAGTTGTAGTTGTTGAAAAGTTGTAGAAAAGATTTCTATCTATTTCAGTACTTTTTCCACTTATCACAATTGCCCACAACCTATTGGAAATCGCCCAAAACATTGCAAGAAAAGTTGTGAAAACGATGAAGAGTGCAAGGGACATAAACGATGTCTATGCGATGGAGAGTGTGGATTATCGTGTGTGAATCCGAGTATGTGAAAAAGTCTATCGTGAATCGGCTTTACTTCCAGGCTCAACTTGCCATCCTCTTGATCATTTGGAGAATGGCTATATCAGGACATCAAACGAGAATCGTTTTGGCTCAAATGCTGAATATAGTTGTCAAAAGGTAATTGTAAGTGTGATTTAATGCTAAAAGCTTTTCACAGGGCTACGTGCTCATTGGTCCTTCACAACGGCGATGTCAAGCGAGCAAGGATTGGAGTGGATCACAGCCGCTGTGCCGACTGCAATGTATATTGAAAGACTTAGAGCTATCTGAAGCTGGACATCCAGAACCAGATCCAGATCCAGATCAAATTCGGACATCCGTTCACGAACTAAACTTATTTTTAGATTACTTTCAAACTTCCATTCACGAATTAAAATAAAACTTTAGGCATTTTAGGTCACATGATTTAGGTTTAGATTAGATTTAGATCACATTGATCAATTTTTCGGCTGTTTTTCATAATTTTTCCACTCAAAAACCTTTCTCTCTAGCTGATCAAAGCAATTTGAAATCAACTGATACTTCTTGATAAGCATTTTGATAATACTTTGATAAGCATTTTGCCAACTTTTATTAAGAAAATGTTAGCTAAAATTGCATTAACGAACTAAAATGATAGAAAATGCTGGGGAAGATGTACTCAATGTTCTCTCATTTGAAACAGTGATAGCTATAAAAACGTGGAACTCAACTAAAATGCGCAAAATTATGCTTGATCAACAATTGCGAAAGTTTATTTTTCGTCAAGGCTTTTCATTAAGCTCAAATCAGTTTAATCCGTAAATCGACGTCCGAATCTGATCTGAAAGTCCAGCAAAACCGAAATGTTTTTAAAAGTCTTAAAATACGATATAGCTGTGACATTCAAAATAGAAAATCTCAAAAGGGAAAAAGTCGAGGGCGATATGGGACTCGAACCCTGGAGGTGTGGGTTGTAGACCAGTGCACTCCCGACTGCGCCACCATGACAACAAAGCCCGCAAAGAAGAACTCGCTCTTAAGCGGGTTTTTCGGGGTACAAGATTAAAAAGTCTCATTGTCAGTAATGTCTTTTGAAAGTATCAGATTTCAGTGAAATGTGGCCCTCCACCGGAACTTCCATATGCCGTTCACGACGGTGCCTCGTTCTCCGGAGAGTACGATCTTGAAACAGAAGTTAGAAATTTCCATATACCGTATTCTCTCTAATAGTATTGCGGTCCAGGAGGGGGTTGAAAAAATAGTAGTGCGCACTACTATTAGAGAGAATACGGTAATACCTTTAAGCTTGATTCTCTTTTTAAAGTTAACTTTACAGGTTCAATACTCGTGTGTACCCGGGTATCACCGCTTCAACTCTAAGGGATTGGCTCTAGCAAAATGTCTCCTCAATCGCAAAAACATTGCCCAATGGTTTGGGCCAGATTTGAAATGCAAAGGTGAGCATGAAAGTTTTTTGGTTTTAAATTTGAAATCTCAAAAATTCTAGCAAGAACTTGCTCCGATCCGGGTCGAGTGGAGAATGGCATTCGAGAAGGCGACGTTTTTGAGTATCCACATCAAGTGAGTTTGATTGAAGATTGAATGGCTTTTGTTTTGAGAGATGTTGGTGAAATTATTTTGACTTTAAAGGTTTATAAAGATTTTTAGAATATCAAACAATATTTGGATAAAGATTGACTACTTTGTTAGCTATAAAGGTTAACAACTAGATTAGCTGAATAAAGTAGTCATTGACTACTTTGCTGCTAGCTAATCTAGTTGTTCAAGATTCATGAAATTACTTGTTTATGGTGTTTGTTTAGTTAAAATTGTTTAAAAGAAAAAAAATGAAGAAGTTTTCTTTATCTTAAGGTTGTCTACAAATGTTTACCGGGTTTCCTCCTTGTTGGCCCATCAGCGCGAAAATGCGAGAGCAACGGAGAATGGACAGAGACAACTCCTGTTTGCAAGGGTCTCTTTTTATAAAACATTCGATTCACTGTGGTTTTTAAATAAGATATTGCTGTATCTAGGAAATCTCAAATTCCTTTAGCAACGGAATGTCCTCGACCACCAGATCCTCTGCATGGCAGAGTGTTGGGCGCATCATTGACTTATCAAAGCACTGTCACTTATTCCTGCAAAGTTAGTTAACTTTTGTGTAATTTATATTCTTAATTACTTTATTCAAACAAAAATTAAAGACTATTAGAAGCAAGTACACTACTGGACAATGAAATATGATATTTGAAAAAAGATCGTCACTTTCGCGCGTCTGTAACTCCCTTGTCTTTACCGTATTTCTAAATATTAATATTACCATTGTGTAGCCCTTGAAAAGAGCTTTCAGAAAATGTATAACACTAATAGTTTAAACTCAAAGACAAGGGAGTTACAGACGCGCGAAAGTGACGATCGTTTTTCAAATATCATATTTCATTGTCCAGTACTGTTGAAATGAGGCAAAGAGTCAAATTTAAATTAAATTAAACTAAACTTTTCAAAGTTTAACACGAAAATTTAAATAGTTTAGTAAAAAAAGTGAAAAAGAAAGAATATAAATAAGAAAAAAAAGAATACAAAAAAGAAGGAAAAGAGCAAAATAGCAATAGAAAGGTCTAATGGTAGGCAACGAACAATGTAAAATAAGGTTAAGCGGAAAGAAAATTGATATCATCTTGTTAGATCTTGTTCACTAATGGATTTATTTCGTTGGCTAAGAAAAGTTTTAAAAATATCTATTCTACGCGATTCTATATGGGTTTATAGGTCTGAGCTTGTAGTTTGTAGGGTTTATTTCTAATTACGATAGCGTTTATAAACAAAAAAAAGAACGAACTATCTATAACCGTCAAATTCTCTAGCACAAAAAAGAATATTATGATTGTTAAGGACAGTAATCCGGCAATGAAATTCTTTCATTTTAAAAATCAATAATCTATATAACCAATGATTTTTGATGTGAATCATTTGAGATCTGTGATTTGTGATATCACAAGATACAGTACTGGACAATGAGATATGATATTTGAAAAACGATCGTCACTTTCGCGCGTCTGTAACCCCCTTGTCTTTGAGTTTAAACTATTAGTGTTATACATTTACTGAAAGCTCTTTTCAAGGGCTACACAATGGTAATATTAATATTTAGAAACACGGTAAAGACAAGGGAGTTACAGACGCGCGAAAGTGACGATCTTTTTTCAAATATCATATTTCATTGTCCATTAGTGTAGATAGTATTAAAATGAATAGAAATCAAGTGAAAATTTGCCATAGATAGTTTGATATTTTGCATAGAGATTTAGAAATGATTCAGCTCAATTCTAGCTTTAATTTCATCAATTTAGAAAGCTTTAAAGATTGAACTTTGAAATAAGTAGTTTGTAGGGTTCATTTCTATTTACGATAGCGTTTTTAAACAAAAAAAGAACAAACTATCTATAATCGTCAAATTCTCTAGCACAAAAAAGAATATCATGATTGTTGAGGACAGTAATCCGGCAATGACATTCTTTCATTTTCCCAATCTGAGCTCGAAAATACGCTTTTTGCATCCGAAAATGCTTTGGTGGAAAAGTTTCGATAAAGATTTGTGATGGGATTTGAATATTCGATGGTACAACGGGCACAATTCCTCTCATTCCCTCAATCATCTCAATGAGTTGAGTGAAATCTTGTGTGACACGAGGATTTCTCAACGAGTATGGTAAACGCTTAACTTCAGCATTTCTCAAAAGTAATCCGATTATCGCTGACTCATTCTTGCTCGGGACTCCTCTCCTCAATAGTAGATCAATCGCAACAAGTAAATCTTCTAAAATCTCAGTTGTTAGCAAGATTGTCTGATTATCGCTTTTTGCTAGAGAATCATAGAATCTAGGCAATCCAATCGATAATTCCATATTCTTACAACTCCCGAATCTTTTCTCCAAAAACTTTTCCAAATCTTGAGCTTCAATTAAATTTTCTTCTAAAGTTAAGGCAAATTTACGTAGAAATAAAGATTTATGAAATAAATCGATCAAATTCTCAGCAATTGTTAAAGTCTCGGCTTTGATCGCAAATTTTGAAGTGCAACGGATTGGAGCCAAAAATTTTGTCACATCTAAAGCTTTTGATTTGAAATTTTCAACCGTTTCGTACTCGTTTCGACTCTTGTAACTAGCTTTTAACCATCGACAAGAGCGAATATTCTTGAGAAATGGGAATTTTGATTTCTCGAGAAATGCTTTTTGTTTCTCGTTGACGATTCGCCATGATGGGAAATGCTTTTGGCCGTAAGCCACTTTAAAACGTGACTCTTTTTCGTTTTCTTTAAATGAATTGATTGAAATAAAGAAATTTAGAGCATAGATTCGATTATCAATAATCTCATAATCATCAACATCGAATTGAATCTCCCAAATTTGTTTTGAAATCGGCCCATTGACGAGAATGAGTCGTCGAAGTGCTTTCGTCGCGTGTAAAAGAGTGTAAAGAGCTTTTAGATCGACGAAATCGATCACTGAGTATTTTAGAATTGAGGGTAATGAGGGAAAATGGAATTTTTCCATAAAATACAAGCTAGTTTTTGAAAAACAAAAAAAGCCAGTGGCAGGGGGGAAATTTTCGAATGGTGAGCCGGATTTGTAGTTTGCACTGACCTCCTTTTTTCGTATCTTGTCCCCACTATTTGGGAAAGATGGCAAAGAAATATCTGGAGGAATTTTTGCCAAAAGATAAACAAAAACAAAGAAACCAGCAATGCTACGAGGTTTTATAGAAAATTTTATTTAAACAGCTTGTTTATTTGAATCGTTGATATGGAGATACTCTAAAATTTCTTATTAAACTCTAATTGTTAGTGAAATTCTAAAAAGAACACCGTAAATACTTTAATAATACCCCACCCCAAAAGAACAAACTATCTATAGCCGTCAAATTCTCTAGCACAAAAAAGAATATCATGATTGTTAAGGACAGTAATCCGGCAATGACATTCTTTCATTTTCCCAATCTGAGCTCGGAAATACGCAAAACCTAATAGATTAGCTAAGCAAGGTAGTCAATCTTTATCCAAATATTATTTGATATTCTAACAATCTTTATAAACCTGTAGACATCATGTAGCACACTGTGGCTTAAAGCACGTTCAAAGTTAGACCGTACCCCCATCATTATGGAGAGTCTAGCTTTGAACGAGTTTTTCTCGACACTGGTTTAAGCTACAATGCGCGCTTAGGTATCAAAAAATAGCTGAAATTTAGGGCTATTTTTTGATACCAAAGACACATTTTTTGAAAGTACGAGCGCTTTGAAAAAATAAAATACTAAAAAACTTTTGCGACTACGCGACTGTACGAGGGGGGTCGGGTACTATTACAGTATTTACGGTAAGGTTTTAAAAGACTCTAGATGATATTCCATTCTATTACAGGATGGCTATCGACTCGTCGGTCAAGTTCAACGAATTTGTTTGGCTGAGGGAATCTGGGCTGGACAAGAGCCACGCTGTGAAGGTAAAGCAACCAATAAGAGATATCAATTACTTTAAGATATCATAATTAGCGTAATAATTCTAATAGAAGGTCATAGTCTATTGTTGAACCCGAAAAATCAATCAATTTAAAAAAATAGATAAAGTTTTACTATCTAATTTTACTGATGGCATATTATTTCAATTCACGCGAAAAAGATTTAAAAAATCGATTTTTCGAGGTATCGAATGTCTGGAGAATGCTTTTATTAGAACGATTACAATATTTAATTAGTTTTAGTACTTGTTTTCTATTGTGATTGTAACTTTTTAATCATAGAAATCCGTTGTCCATCCCTGCCCTCTCTTAGCAATGGCTACATCGAAGGAGGCGATACACACTTTGGAGCAATCGCGGTTTTCAGGTAATTTAGTTATTGTATTATTATAAAGAACACTCTTTTCTAAAGAAAAATCAAAATATTAGATGATGAATGATTTTAGATGCTATGAAAAGATGACTCATGAGGGAGCGACTGAGGCAAAATGCCTTCAAAATGGGCAATGGTCTCATCCACCGCCAAAATGTTTAGGTAAAATAAAAATGAATCTAATATTTCGCTCAGAACTTCTTGAAAATCATTTCCTTTTCATAGAATAAACAAAAGTTATCAACTTTTAGGAGTTTGTCGAGTCCCATCAATTGAAAATGGACGTATCGAGAGCTATGCTGTGGGCGCATTCGTGCAATCGGGATCAAATGTAGACTTTTAAAATTTATAACATTTCGAAAAAGGAATTAGACTTGTATTCACAGAAGAAATTCTCATAAATTTCTCATAATTTGACAGGTTCAAGTGAAATGTGAGGATCGACATGAAACAAAATCCCTAACAACGATGAGTTGTCACAATGCTTCGTGGAGCCATTTACCGATTTGCGAACCATGTGGGTTTCTAATGCTTAATAGTAGAATTTTTCAATAAAGAAGTATCAAATACAGGTTTTACAACAAAACAAAACTATTTAGTAAGCTGTCACACTTGGCCACCACGAGTCGCCCACGCTCGAGTTCTCTTTACAAAGTCTTCACACGGATCAAGAGCCAAATACGAGTGTAAACCTGGATTTCGACTTAACTCACCATCGCCAACTATCAAGGTAAGATATAGAATAGAGAACTTAAAGATTTATCTATACTTGGCTTATTTATACTTACCATAAATACTGTAATAGTACCCCACCCTCCTCGTACAGTCGCGTAGTCGCAAAAGTTTTTTAGTATTTCATTTTTTTCAAAGCGCTCGTACTTTCAAAAAATGTGTCTTTGGTATCAAAAAATAGCTGAAATTCAGGGCTATTTTTTGATACCTAAGCGCCCATTGTAGCATAAACCAGTGTCGAGAAAAACTCGTTCAAAGTTAGACTACGCAACACTCCACACCGTCATTATCTTTGGTATCAAAAAATAGCCCTAAATTTCAGCTATTTTTTGATACCTAAGCGCCCATTGTAGCATAAACCAGTGTCGAGAAAAACTCGTTCAAAGTTAGACTACGCAACGCTCCGCACCGTCATTATGGGGGTGGGGTCCAATTACAGTCTTTACGGTAAAGATTTATCTATACTTGGCTTATTTCTACTTAAAGATTTGTCTATACTGTACTAGTCATTACAGCCAAGTATAGTAATGTTCCTTAGATTTTGATGCCAAACTAGATACTCTGTAAAGTATGATTGAGGATTCATTGAGGATTATTATCACTGTTTAATCGTTTAATTGTCTATTGTCTATTGAGCTTTGAGCAAAAGTTGAAAATTGTGATTGATTTCAGTGCCTCTTCGGTGAATGGATACGAGACGAGCCGCCACTTCGGTGTATCTCAAGTTTTGAAACTAAACCATTCAAATCTGTAGACTTTTAAGGTGCTTGTGAACACCCTATGGTGACCTATGGAAAAATTGAAAACGGAAAAATCATGCTAGAAGGCCTAATGGGACCATACGATTTTGCTGATTATATACAAAAGGTTTTAAAGAATTTGATTATAAACAAAAGTTTAGGTGGACATTGGAAGAAATATTATTTTTCAATGCGAGAAGGGATTTTATTTGATTGGTTGGTTTTTGCTTCTTTCCCGGAAACGTATTTTAAAAGTTTCATGATTTTTTTGACCAAAAAAAGTCAATTTCTTGCTTTCTTGGGGACGTAAAGACATAAAGACATCTTTTTCTATCACTTTTGGCGTTGAAGGAATCACTTTGAACAATCAAATGCCGAGCCAATAAACGATGTGAAACGTGTGCATCGATTTCGATCATTTAACGCCAACATTTAAGCATAAAGGGCTGTGAAATTCGGCTGAAACTTCTAGGCTGTGAAATTCGTCCTTTGAAATCATTTGTTTTAAAAATATAGTTCTTGAATAAATTGATAAAGAAAAAAACAAGGAAAAGACCATGAAAATGACTTTTTTTAGCCAAAAGACTACAAAACTGACTTTTTTTTCTGCAAAACTTCTTGATTAAGGCTCACCAAAAGCTTCGTGTGTGAATGGGGAATGGAAACCAAAGAGTGTGCCGAGATGTCAACAACAGACACATCCAATGGTTGATGGGATTATTTGGAATCGAAGCAAGAGAAGTATTAAGGGAAATGAAGAAAATAGGTAAGATTTATGTCATAGAAACACTAAAAAAAACTACTCTTAAATTATATGGACATGCACTGTGGCTAAAGTTTTAACATCATGACAATTCTTGAATGTTTTAGACAATCAAATCACTGAGTAGCTTTTTTCTGGGTTACGGTAAGCTGGGCACATTTTAGAGTAGTTATCCGAGTGTTTGGGCAGAAGTTCTTATCAAATTTGATTTCTGTTAAATCTAAAGCACTTCATCAAAAGATAAAAGCTTTAATTTTCCATTCTCTATGCAAGAAATCAATTCAAGAGAAACCTAAAAGTGTTGAGTAATAGAACTACAGTACTGGACAATGAAATATGATATTTGAAAAAAGATCGTCACTTTCGCGCGTCTGTAACTCCCTTTAGTAACTTCTGTAACTCCGCGCGTCTGTAACTCCCTGTAACTGCCTACCATTAGACCTTTCTATTGCTATTTTGCTCTTTTCCTTCTTTTTTGTTTTCTTTTTTTTCTTATTTATATTCTTTCTTTTTCACTTTTTTTACTAAACTATTTAAATTTTCGTGTTAAACTTTGAAAAGTTTAGTTTAATTTAATTTAAATTTGACTCTTTGCCTCATTTCAACAGTACTGGACAATGAAATATGATATTTGAAGAACGATCGTCACTTTCGCGCGTCTGTAACTCCGTTGTCTTTGAGTTAAAACTATTAGTGTTATACATTTTCTGAAAGCTCTTTTCAAGGGCTACACAATGGTAATATTAATATTTAGAAATACGGTAAAGACAAGGGAGTTACAGACGCGCGAAAGTGACGATCTTTTTTCAAATATCATATTTCATTGTCCAGTAATGTATATGTTACGTCTGAATCTGAGGAGACGTCCATCTTCGATCCGGACGTCCGAATCGGAGGTGGACGTCTCCTCAGATTCGGACGTAACATATATACCTGCACAATTACCCGCACTCACTTCAAATTCACCTCTTAAACTTTGATCCTTAATCGAAAGTCATTGTTTTTTTGTAAAAATGAGTTAGATTTTAACAATAATAAGTAAAAAGAAGTAAATGAAGCTGGTTTTCTTTCATTTTAAGGATTGAAACTAGTTTAAAAAAACAGAAAATCGCGATTCCGCCGATTCCGCCGTGTCACAACTTTGCAGCGCTCTAGCAAAAGTTTAGAAACTTTTCTGATCAAATCCAGAAAACGAATTGCAAGAGAAATACTCAATTTGATAATAAAAAAAGAATTAGATCGATTGATTGACTCTTCGCTAAGCTGAGGAACCTGAACTGAATGCGGGTAATTGTGCACCACTCTGTAGATAGATAGAATAATAGATAGATGCCTGAGCCTGAGCCTAAGCCTAAGCCTTTCCAGCCGCTCCTCCAGACACGCTTTTCCCAGCTCTCCATGTCCTCGAATCACCGCCGATGAAACTCAAATGATCATCCCGCATTCCCCTTTGGAAATTTCCGTAAGCACTTCATTTCATTCGTTTCTCAATCAATCACTCATTTGAGTGATCAAAAAATCTTTGAATAGAGTGTAGGTGGCTTGCAGGGAAGGATATGAGGGACCAAATGGTCAACCGATTCGCCTCCATTGCTCTACCCATAACAATACTTGGATTCCTTTATTGCCCATCTGTTTTCCAAGTTCGACAACTTTCTCAACTATTCAAAAGCTTCAAAAGCTTTCAGAATCTTGCCGAATCCCTGCTAGACTTCATGTGTTTTTCTTGAGAGTTAACGATTCACAAATCATTGAATCGAATGGTTTACTTCCTGACTCAACTATCGGCAAAATGGTTTGCATTCGGGGATTTCAGTTAAAGTAAGTCTAAATCGTTTTAACAATTGTAAATGAATGTAAAATTTTAGAGGTAATGCAATGCTCAAATGCAATAAAGGTTTAATCGAGGAGGCGGCTGGGGAATGTGTACCACGTAAGAAATTCAATTCCCCTCTATACTTTAAATCGATTCGTTTTTAGAAGAATGTCTCCTCGATTCAGTACCAGGTGGAAAATATATTCCATCATTGAAAACCCTTGTTCACGCTCAAAAAATCATTCTTCAATGCCAAGCGGAGAATGTAACGATTGAGTGCAATCGGGGAATTCTTCAACCAGCACCTTCATGCTTTCAAAATGGTATTTTATATGCTATTTTGTGCTTTTTATGCTTTTTATGCTTTAATTTATTAATAATCTTTATGATTATTTAGTTTTAAGATAAATCTAAACACTATTTATCTATTTTCAGCTTCACTTTACTGTGTCCCACCACAAGACACGACTCCTGCTATCATTTTTCGTTTACAAGTCAGAAATCCTTATCTAGATCTTTCACAATTTCTTTTAGGGAGAACAAAAACTTTTTCTGGATCGTTATCAACAAGTTTACCCAAGTGGTTCAATCTTTCAATATCGTTGTGATGCTTCGAGAGAAGAAGCTAGTGGAATCGAGTGTGTTGAGGGGAAATGGATCAGCAATTTATTGCCTTGTCGTAAGGTTTAAGCAATAGATTTTATAGTAATAGATTTAAGTTGAAATTACGGTTGCTCTTTGATAATAATGAAATTTAGTTGCTGAGAATGTGACAACGGTGACGAGATTGCCGACAGAAGGCGCTTGTCCCGAGCCTCCACTCGATCGACAGTACCGAATTGTGAATCTCGAGAATTATGTTCAATCAAGTCATAACAGATTTCCGCATGGAACCTCTTTACAAGTAACTAAAACTTGTTTTCAATATAGTTTTTGTTTTAGATCGGTTGTAGCATTTGGGCACCAAATGATCCGATTGTTGAGTGGAAATGCCGTCGAGGGAAATGGGGAAAACGCGGAAAGCTCGCTTGCCCGAATAGTAAGCTCAGTTTTAAGAACAATTCTTTACTTTTAATGTACGTTAACTCTGAATTTACAGGTATGGCTTGTGAATTTAAAACTGATCTCACTGGACGAACGCTCGCTTACTCGGTTGATCGAAGAGAGCTCTTGTTGTTCAATCAGAAGCTGCCAGGTTTTGGAAAAGTTAGAACTAGGGCTGATAAAAAATATGTGCTGGACTAGAACCCGCGACCTTTCGCTTACTGGCCAATTGTGCTAACCAACACAATGCACTTGATTCCTTTTACTCAAGAGGGAGTTAACTGGCAACCACAGAGGGATGGGCTCTGCAATGCTGGTTAAAGTCTTCATACCTAATTTTGAGCGCACCCCAGACCTATAAAACGAGACGAACCGTCTCGTCCAGAGAGGAGGGAATTAACACCCTCTAAGTAAGGGATCAAGTGCGTTGTGGTGTAATGGTTAGCACAGTTGCCCGGTAAGTGGAAGGTCGTGGCTTCGAGTCCCGGCGGTGCATGAGTTTTTGATCTGCCCTAGTTCCAAGGGTTTCATTTTAAAACAAAAACCTTTTAGAGAACTCAAAAATCTTGTATCGATGCTCAGAGGTTGGTTTTTTCCGTCTTCGTGGAAAGGCTGAAGCCGAGTGCCGCGAAGGGGAGTGGAGTGTGAAAGCGCCGAGATGTGAACCCCTTGATCCAAAGAGTCCGATAGCTGGTTGGTGTATAAAAAACAGTAGAATAAATTTCGTTATCTTTCAAGAAGATGCTGCACCGATTTTCTTCACGGTTGATGGTTCACAGCATGCAATCTCTCATCGAGGTGACTTGATTGTCGCTCGATCCGCGACAATCACTTTCAGTTGTCTTCTGCCGAAGAGTAGGGGAAAGCCTGTATGGGTAAGTGATTCAAATTATCAATGCTTTAGGAATTAGACTTGGTTATCGACACCATTTGTGGGATCGAGTTTTTGAAATGCTTGGGTGAAAATGAACATATCTTTGTGATTGTAGCTCCAAATGCTCTGAAACCTTTACCAATAGAAAGCCAGAAGTTCAAGCTTTATTTTGGATACTTGTCGGTGATACATCCACAGAGACTCAACTCGGTTTCGAGGAGCTGACAACTTATGAGGGGTGGCTATGTTCAGTGAAGTAGAGTGCTCGTCTGAAATGATTAGTCGATCAGTGGAACGAAAATCGATAACAGAGAAGTCTCGGATGGGGATGCTTCACCGAGATGAGTCTTTGTGAATGTCTAACCGACAAGCACCTCATTTTGGTACCATTTAGAGCTACGTTTTGCTCTTCTAAGTATTAAGTACCAAAATAAAGCTTGAGCTTTTGGCTATCCAATGGTAGTGTCAAAGTATTTGAGTAGTTTTTTTTGCAAATTTTTGTGCAAAGTGCGACTACTTTAAAAATATTGATAATATTGATAAGTCTATTAGAAACGTTTGATGCTTTGATGGCTATAGAAAATAGAAAATTATCATTTGTTTTAGGAAACCACTTCAACGTATCGATCTTATCCACAAAGCTGGGAAATTATCGATGCTTTCAACTACAGAAAACTTGATGCATATCAAGTAAATAGTTTAATAAATGTGAAAATGATAGGCAATTTTGTTAATTGAGTATTTAGACGTCAACTTAGCAAACTTACAGACTTTTCATTGATGATTCATTTAGTTGACGGTTGCCGGCGCTCAACCAGAAGACAACGGTGTTTTTAACTGTATCACACCATTTGGAGAACGCCATTCGATTAAATTAATCGTTCAAAGTGAGAGAGATTTAAAGTTTTAAAAATCTCTTTTAAAATTTAGATGTAAACTGTCCACCACTACGCAACTCCACTCATTTACATGTGCATTTTACGCAGAGAAACTTTTATGTCGGTAAGTTGACGCTTATTTAAACTTTAAAGCATACAAATCTTTGCTAGGTACTGTGGCACAATTTGTTTGCCCAAATGGCTATCGAGTGACCGGGGCAAGGAAATCGATTTGCTTGATGGATGGTCGATGGTCTCATGAAGCACCTGAATGCCAAGGTTATCATAGCAACTTGCAAAATGATTTCAAGAACAATCCAGCTTTCTATCAATGTTTTGTATTCAAAAGAATCTACTAGATGCGATATATACTTTTATTTTAAAGTAAACCCAAAAGAACCGACGAAATTTCCCAATTTAGCCGTTCAATGCCCTCCACTTGTCCTCAACACTCAACATTTAAGTGCGACAGTCTCCTCTTTCAAATTTGGTTTGTTAAACTTGGCCTTCTGATTAATAAAAAGCTTATAGGTGGAATTTCTCAATTTTCTTGTGACAAGGGCTACACATTGATTGGAAATGAGCATCTTCATTGCACTTCGAGAGGCACCTGGAGTGAGAGGGTTCCCTATTGTGCTGTCGTTCAATGTGGTGAAATTTTCCCGCCGAGAAACGGTTTTGTCATTGGTGGATCAACAAATAAAGTCTTTAGAAAGGTAATTAGTGTTTGTTTTTTGTTTAAAATTGTTTTTTTAGGGGGATATTGTGATGTTTGGTTGCGCAGATTCGCATTTGTTGACAGGCACGGATTTTGTGATGTGTCAAGCGAGTGGGAAATGGAGTAAAACAGCAGCAAATTGTAAGTAGATTGTGATTCTTTTAATTGAGCTACTTTCCTAAGATTTATGAATGAAAAACTATCGTTATTTCTTTATTTCTTTGAATAAAAAGCTATTCAAAGAACTTTCTAAGAGCTTAGGAAAAGCTAGCCTAGTTATTTAGTCATTTAATTCTCTTTATTCATTCAAAAGGTTGTTCAGAAATCTAGCAATTACTTAAACTTGTACTATTGTACTATTTTAGGTACTTAAACTATTGTTAATAGCTCACTGTCTTCACCTTTAGGTTCTCCATATTGTAAATACCCTGGCACTCCTGAATTCGGTCAATCAACATCACCACCAAAGGTTAGAGATCTTTTATCTTTTATCGATCTTGTTATCTAAAGTATTATCAATTTAGGACTACTACTTAGTTGGTGACAAATTGGTTTACTATTGTCCTGGCAATGGCTATCGTCTCTCAGCCGATAATGTATTGGTTTGTGTTGGAGCTGGACGATGGAGTCGAAGTGTGCCTCGTTGTGTACCAAGTTATGATGATTGAGTAAACAAAAACAACAAAGTCAACATCATTTTATGTTTTCATCTTTTGATCTTATCAAATTTCTTGACAAAAGAATCTTTAAATCTTGTTTTATAATTCAAAATACTATAGTACGCATCACTTATCAGTAATTCTATTCTAAGCTTTCATTTCAACATCTTAATCAACGAATTTTTTGTTTTCATTAAGATAATTGAAAGATTTTTACTTGTTTTATCCATTTTTAAAAATCCATTTAAAAATGTAAGTGATTTTTATCATACCGTATTTTCTCTAATAGTAGTGCACTCCGGCGAGCCGAGTTGCTGACGATTTTACGGTTTCCAAGCTTTTGCAGAAGCTTAACACTCAAATCCCCCACTAGATCTCATCGTGAGCTACATTTTCCAACCCCACATCGATAGGTTCTGATAAGCGGTTTTCGAGATTTCGAGGAATTTAGGCGACGCTCTGAGTGTGCTACTATTAGAGAAAATACGGTATATTTTTGTTGTTAACTATTGCTGTCTCTATTGAAAAGCCTATAATCAATGTTTAAAGTACTGGCTGGTTAAAGTTTCAATGTTTTAATGTTTCAACAAATGCTTGACTTGAGTAGAAAATTATCTGGGAAGTTTTTCTCTCTAATAGTAGTGTGGTTGGTGACGATTTTACGGTTTCCAAGCTTTTGCAGAAGCTCAACACTCAAATCCCCCACTAGATCTCATCGTGAGCTACATTTTCCAACCCCACATCGATAGGTTCTGATAAGCGGTTCTCGAGATTTCGAGGAATTTAGGCGACGCTCACGGTGCACTACTATTAGAGAAAATACGGTATTAGAAAAGTTTCAAGTTTTAGAAGCTTTAGAAGAAAAGTTTTTAGAATCAAACTAAGAAATTTTCACAATTACAAAAAGTAACCAATTCTTTGGCTAATAATCTGCAGCTTTTAAATCAAAAAGTTTACTTTTTTCTATATAAAAATCTTAAATCACAAGCTTCTTCATCGAATGATCGAAACTTTTGATGAAAAACTCTTTCTCAACTTCCAATAGATGGCAAGAAGACTCTGATTTTGTAACCTGAAAAATCTCTAAAGAATATCACAGCAACAATACTTGAATTCACTAACCCCACTTGATTCACATTATTTTTGTTTGAACCGAATTCCCATTGTGAACAATATGTATCAAAATAAATCTCCCTTGCTCGTCTCTCCAAATGAATCAAATCGCTTGTTTCGGTGACTCGTTTCTGTTCATTTTTCACGATAATTCGATAAATTATCCATGGAGAAATCACTGTGAAATACATTGGAAACTGAAAAAATCGAGGTTTTTCAAAATAATATAAGAGATAAACATATAGAAATCCGGCGCCGGTTGAGTTGAGAGGTTCGGGTGGATTGAGAACCGTTCGATAAATCAAAGCTAGAGTTGAGCTGGCAAGAAAGGAAAACGCATGGAAAATACTAAAACTAACTACAGTAAACTACAGCTACAAACTAACTACAGTCAACTACAAGTGTTAATAAGTCAATAAATTCTCTACTTTGTATTTTGCTCTTATTTTTTCAGCTTTTCTTTTGAATTCTTGATGACTATGACTGAAATTTGTGACTTTGTGAGTCTTGGGAATTCTTTTTACATTTAATGAAACGATCAACTGTAAAACACAAGTCGTTTTCTTCATCTTTTACATTCAAAGACCTGTATGGAAGAAAAAGTCTCATCGTTGAGATCAATTGTCGGCGATTGAGATTCACCAATATATCGTAAGATCTTTTGAGACTGAATTTGATAGCTTTTTGATCAAAAAAATGATCAAAAATCAAACCGATTTTCTTTTTCATACAAATACATGAGCAAAAGTGAAATGAGAATGGTGATTGCTTCCATTATTCCTGTTATGTATGCCTCTACATTTGAGCTTGAAGTTGTTCCTTTGCAATAGGAGACTTCAATATCGGGGATAATCGTCCCATCGAGTTTCCAATAGAATTCAAAGCAAGAGATTAACATCTAAATCAATCTCTAGAGCTCAATTAAAATATAGAGTGTGATAAAAGTTCGGATCTTGCTTTTCCAGCTCAGTCAGTCCATCTCTGCTAGCCTAGCTCAGTCAGCCCATCTCAGCCAGCCCAAGTCAGGCCAGCCCATCACAGTCAGCCCATCTCTGCTAGCCCAGCTCTGCTAGACCAGCTCAGACAGCCGGCAGAAACGGTCAGCGTGATGGTGTGTGCTTTGATTGAAGATTAAAGTCTTTATTTTTATTCTTTAGTTTTAATCGAAAGTTTTAGCTGTTGTTTCACTTAAGAAGCTCTGTAATATGGTTCTGTTTTTGCGGAAATATGTTTTCCAAATAGAAAGCTAAACCGTTTTTTTCAAAAAAACTTCCTGTTGGCCTTTTTGTGCCACCTTGTAGAAGCTTAATTAGGCTGAGCATACAATATTACTCACAGCAATGAATGTCAACAATCTTCTCATCGTTGTTTCATTTTCTCTTGCTCGAGATCCTCCAAAGAATGAAAGCATTCGAATAATGATCAATGTCATGTTAAGGATTGGAAGAGTGAACATCGAAAAAGTGATTGAAAAGCGAAAAGCGAAACATAGACGACTGGGAATTGTTGCCGAACAGGGAGATTGAGTGGAATGAACGATTAGGAAAGTTCCCTAGAAAGAAAGCTTCATTTATCTATTTGAAACAATCTTTTTAGAGTAGAGTTTTGTTTTTCTTGTTCTTTCAAATATCGATTCTCAATCTCACAAATCATTTCTCAACGTTAAGCTTAGAGTTAGATAGATCTAGAGAAAATCGTCTCTAGATCCGGATCGACAAACACGAATAGGTTTTCCTTGTTTCTTTCTATCTCTTAATCATTTCTATGTTTTCAAGTTGTGAATTGCCTGTGTCATCAGAGTGTTAACATCGACTTGAGCAATTCTAATTTACATAACTTGAGCCATTCTAATTTACATAACTTGAGCAATTCTAATTTACAACACCTGTTGTTTTATCTTTAAAAACTTGTAAAAGAAATCAAAATCCAAACCGTTGCCATGATCATAGTGATGGCTTGGATGAGATGAATGAGATAACATCCAAGCAAATGTTCTTTAAAAGTTGAATCCAGAAGAGCTGACGAAAAAGTCTTTCGATATGTGAAAGCTATACCCAAAATAGCCATCAAAGCACATAAGAGTTGCGTACAGAACATCAACTTCATAAAGCCATTCGAGGAAAACATTGAAATTGAGGGACATGTTGAATTCATCGAATATTGTAAAGTATACAAAAGTTTTCTGAATCTCAGATTTCTGAGATTGAAACATCGTAGTGAACAAAGTCAAATTGAGCTCTTCATTGTAATCTTTTGGGAATTGAAATGAACAAAGGTGAACAAAATGAACAAAGGTGAAGAAAAATCCCTTTTTATTTTGAATGACAAAAGAGAAGATTGAAAGGGCAAGAAAATTTAAATAAAAAATCACCGTTATTGTGTTTTAACATTGTACCTTTAGCAAGTCACCGTTTTCAGGGCTTTTCTAAAAGGCACTATGCATACAGTACTGGACAATGAAATATGATATTTGAAAAACGATCGTCACTTTCGCGCGTCTGTAACTCCCTTGTCTTTACCGTATTTCTAAATATTAATATTACCATTGTGTAGCCCTTGAAAAGAGCTTTCAGAAAATGTATAACACTAATAGTTTAAACTCAAAGACAAGGAAGTTACAGACGCGCGAAAGTGACGATCGTTTTTCAAATATCATATTTCATTGTCCAGTAGTGTAGATGAGCTATCAGCTAATATAGATGAGCTAATGGCTTAAATAGATGAGCTATCAGCTACTATACTAGGTTGGTGCAAATGAAATTTCGTTTTTTTACAAACATTAAAGTCATCCAAAATTTTTTTAGATAACAATTTATTTAAAACAATAAGCACCATTATTATCTATGACATCCCTCCAACGTTGCTTCAGATTGCGGATCCCCTTCTCAAAGAACGCTTGATTCTGTGATGCAAAGTAGTTGGTCACCCAATTTTCGACTTCTTTTGCATTCTTAAACTGGCAATTCTCAAGGGAATGTTGCATCGATCTGAAAAGGTGAAAATCGGAGGGTGCTAAGTCTGGACTATACGGCGCATGTGGTAAGACCTTCCATCCTAGCTTCTCTAGTTCCTTACAAGAGGTTTTTGCGTTCCGATCAGCCATATCTTGCTCCAGAAGTCGAAAAGAAGCCATTTTTTTTTTGAGAATATCTTGACGATGGATGAGAAGTGGATTCACTTTGATAATACTTCTTGAAAAAGACAATGGCTGAGCAAAGGTCAAGCGCCAATTCCAACTCCAAAGCCAGATTATCATGGGCGCAAAGTGATGTTGTCTTGCTGGTGGAATATCAATGGACTTGTTCATTTTGAATTATTAGAGCCCGGAAAAACAGTCGATTCATCTTATTTTATTCAACAACTCAAGAAGGTTGACGAAATTTTGCGTGAAAAAGGCCTAAATCCCTCAACTATCAACTTTCTCCGTGATAATGCTCCAGCTCACACGGCAAAAACCTCTTGTAAGGAACTAGAGAAGCTACAGTGCGGAGCAAAACCATACGCCACCCCCTAAATTTCAATTTTCTGCGGCTTCCGTGCCACTAACAAAAAAACTGAAAACGTAGTTAGATTCAGGACCAAAAATAACCCTTAAACCCCAAAAATCTTCGACATAGCATGAATAGGGAAAATGTAACAGCCAAAAAACGAAAATTCACCCGGTGCAAAACCATACGCCACCCCCCAAATTTTGGTGTTATTTCATACTTTTTTTCTAGTTTAAAAGCTAAATCTGCCTCTGGCAAACATAAGTCCCGCCCTTTCACTTCAGATTCCTTATAAGGAGGCCTAAAGAGCTTACTTTGTCTTACCTCAACTTCAAAAAAAACAATGCCGAAAGCAACTCAACTCTCTGACGGGGGAGCAGGCTCAACTCGACCTCATGCAGCAACTTGGATTGTCAATTTCCGAGATGAGTCGTCGAACCAATCGCTCAAGAGACTGCATCAACCGTTACCTCAAAGCTCCACTCAAATATGGTACCTCAAATGCGCATGGTCGTCACAAGAAGCTATACAAACGGGCCGAACGCCATATCAGAAACAAAGCCTCAAACTCTACGAGATCGGCAGATGAAATCAAGCGTGATTTGCAACTTCCAGTGTCAAAGTGGACCGTTCTGAGAACCATCAACTCTTCGCCACATCTCACACGTCAGGTGATGAAGCCAGCACCTCGCTTAACTGTCATCCACAAACAGAACAGGTTGCTCTTTGCTCGCGCAAACATGGCAACTGACTGGAATCAGGTATTTAAACTTAGAAAACAAATTTTATTGGTTTCAGATCATCTACACAGGCGAGAAAAAGTTCAACCTGGATGGGCCTGATGGTGGACACTCTTATTGGCGTGACTTGCGCAAGAATCCATTACGGTTCTCAAAGCGAAACTTCGGCGGGGGTTCAGTGATGTGTTGGGGCGCCTTCTCATCTCATGGAAAACTGGAAATCGTCTTTGTCACGTCCAAGATGAACTCACAAGATCGATGTGCACCTTCTTCCATATCTGCAAAGTCTTCCACAACACCAACTCACCCTACAGCAAGACAACGCCAGCATCCACGTCAGCCGAGCAACCAAGTCATGGCTTCAGTCAAAACAAGTGCCTCTTCTGGATTGGCCTGCGTGCTCCCCGATCTCAACCCCATTGAGAATCTGTGGGGAATGATTGCTCGTCGAGTTTATCACAATTCCACACAATACGCAAATGTTCAAGCACTCAAAGATGCCATTATCCGCGAGTGGAATGCCATTCCAAGAAGCATCATCAAGAAGCTAGTTGACAGAATGCCGAGTCGAATATTTGACGTGATCAGTCGCCAGGGACAAGCAACAAAATATTAGACTGTTATTGTTATAAATAAACCTTGTTATTATAAAAATTGAATAAAAATGCAACAACGACACCAAAATTTGGGGGGTGGCGTATGGTTTTGCACCGGGTGAATTTTCGTTTTTTGGCTGTTACATTTTCCCTATTCATGCTATGTCGAAGATTTTTGGGGTTTAAGGGTTATTTTTGGTCCTGAATCTAACTACGTTTTCAGTTTTTTTGTTAGTGGCACGGAAGCCGCAGAAAATTGAAATTTAGGGGGTGGCGTATGGTTTTGCTCCGCACTGTAGCTTCTCTAGTTCCTTACAAGAGGTTTTTGCCGTGTGAGCTGGAGCATTATCACGGAGAAAGTTGATAGTTGAGGGATTTAGGCCTTTTTCACGCAAAATTTCGTCAACCTTCTTGAGTTGTTGAATAAAATAAGATGAATCGACTGTTTTTCCGGGCTCTAATAATTCAAAATGAACAAGTCCATTGATATTCCACCAGCAAGACAACCTCACTTTGCGCCCATGATAATCTGGCTTTGGAGTTGGAATTGGCGCTTGACCTTTGCTCAGCCATTGTCTTTTTCAAGAAGTATTATCAAAGTGAATCCACTTCTCATCCATCGTCAAGATATTCTCAAAAAAAATGGCTTCTTTTCGACTTCTGGAGCAAGATATGGCTGATCGGAACGCGTGCTCCCAGATTCTCAACACTCAATTGATGTGGAACCCATTGTCCATTACGATTTGTCTTTCCAATTATTTCCAAATGGCGTACAATTGTTGAATTGGAGATGTTTGGCAAGTTCTCGTGTTGTTTGCATTGGATCAGCTTCAATTAATTGTTCCAATTCATTGTTGTCGATGGCTGTGGCACGATGTCCATGCGATTCGTCTTCAAGGGATTCATTACCATCTCGGAATTGGACAAACCAGAGCTGGCATGATCTTTCGGTGATAACCTGTTCTCCAAAGGCGGAACAGAGATCACGATGTGAATCAGCAGCGTTTTTGCCCATTTTGAAGTCATAGAGAAGACACGTGCGCAGAACATACTTTTGATCCACCATGATCTAAAGCAAAAATCAATTAAAAAGTGAAAGCTCTGACTTTGAAAAAATGCGAAAATAAAGTAAATATCCAAGAGTACAAATGCACAAAAGAACATCAAATAAGCTCTTCAGATTAAAAAAATAAGAACATTTTATATCGACCGAAATTTCTTTTGCACCAACCTAATAGATGAGCTATCATCAAATATAGATGAGCTATCAGTTAACATACAGTACTGGACAATGAAATATGATATTTGAAAAACGATCGTCACTTTCGCGCGTCTGTAACTTCCTTGTCTTTGAGTTTAAACTATTAGTGTTATACATTTTCTAAAAGCTCTTTTCAAGGGCTACACAATGGAAATATTAATATTTAGAAATACGGTAAAGACATGAGAGTTACAGTCCCGCAAAAGTAACGATCTTTTTCAAATATGATATTTCATTGTCCAGTAGTGTACGTGATACTCGTCGGGATCGCTCTATAAAAGGTCCCTTTCCCCATTTCCTCACCTTTTTTTCCTTCGAGACAAACCGTTTTCTTGCCGATTTTGAATGGTTTCACGAAGCAAACGATTCTCAACCGATCGTCATGTTCTATTAAAACATCTACTCGTCAGTTAAACGTTTTTCCCTAAAGGAATCAACGTTTAAACCTTTTCTTCTCTTCCGTCCCTTTCGTTTTAGCAGAACAAATTTTCTTTTGTTTTCTCTTTCAAGCGTAAAGTTTTTGGATAATCGGGAATGGTTTGCCAATTGACACCACCAATCGTTCGTCCTAAATCCCGGGAAATCCGAGGACGTTTGCGGATTCTCATCAGCTTACAACAACAACAACGATCCAATAGTGATCGGTAAGCACTTTATCACCACATTTCTCACCAAAGCTTGAGAGACATGTTGAATTCATCGAATATTGTAAAGTATACAAAAGTTTTCTGAGTCTCAGATTTCTGAGATTGAAACATCGTAGTGAACAAAGTCAAATTGGACTCTTCATTGTAATCTTTTGGGAATTGAAATGAACAAAGGTGAACTCTGAAAAATCCCTTTTTATTTTGAATGAAAAAGGAGAAGCTTGAAAGAGCAAGAAAATTTAAATAAAAAGAAAAAGATCTTTGAGATTCTTTTTTGAATACTTTATGACTTTGGTTCGAGTACTCAAGTTGGAAATGGGAAGTAAGTGTCTCGTGGGAAGTAATTAAGGGAAAGTAAGTGTCTAGTGGGAAGTAGTTAATGGGAAGTAAGTGTCTAATGGGAAGTAATTGATGGAAAGTAAGTGTCTAGTGGGGAGTAATTAATGGGGAGTAATTAATGGGAAGTAAATGTCTTTTTTTTTTTTAGTTTACTAGCCTGATTTTTCTTCTTAAGAATTGATTGCATGGAATTTTTTGAGTGTTTTTTTGTGCTCGTTGCTAGCGTCTAAAGATAACAAGTATCTAGTGACTAACAATAGAAATATCTTATTTGACAGAGAAAATCTGAAGAGAAGAGATTTGGTGAAAAATGTCTTCAGCTCCATTTCAGTTATGCCGAATCGTTGCCGTTTTGAGTGCATTGCGTATCGAAGTCGCATGTGAAAGACTTTTTTTTGCGAGATTCCGAAGAAGTCGATAGGTGAGATCAGTGACGTACTCAGGATTTCGCGGCCGTTAGTATAATATAAAAAAAACTGATGGTTGAAGTGAGAATGGGATTTGAAATTAGCATTTATAGTTGATACTTTGTACAGAAAATATCTCAATTATTGAGCTGAAAGTCTGAATTTTGAATTGAAGTGCCACGATTGATTAAATCACTTCAAAAAACGAAAGAGTTTTAGTTTGAAGGGCTGATTTACTCCAAAAAAGATATAGAAATCATATTTCATACAATTAACAAAAATAAGTGATAGTTTAAAGTTGATTTTAAAGTGCAAAAATCAAAAACCTATTTGGTTCTTGATTTCTTGATGAACAATGATAAATTGAGATCATTTTTTGTCAAATCAAATGTCAAATGTCAAATTTGTCAGCTTTTCTTCAAATCTATTTATTCTATCTCATTAATTAACTAATGAATTTAATTATTGTGGATTGTTGGGCAATTCGAGATGACTGTACATGTCATTGGTTTGTTGAGTGACCCGAATGAAAGTCGCACGTTTTGAGAGCTCCTAAAGCCAACAACAGATGACTTTGTATGATTTTAAAACTAATATTGAGTCAGTTTCCATGCCTGAATCGTTTTTTAAACAAAAACCTTAAGATGACGAGCTCCTGTGTAGGTACAAGCCGACCTCAAACCACCAAGAATATCTTGAACTGTCTCGTTGACATCACCTCTAGAAATAGGACTTGTTTCTTGATGAAGATTTCAAATAGATCTATTGAAAATCTTTTTCAGCTTGATAAAAATAAAGCTTATAAAGAAACGATTCAATGAAAGAGCTGGAAATTGGATAGGCGCCTAAGCCTAAGCCTGAACCTGAGCCTAAGCCTAAGCCCAAGCCTGAGCCTAAGCCTGAGCCTAAGCCTAAGCCTGAACCTAAGCCTAAGCCTAAGCCCAAGCCTGAACCTGAGCCTAAGCCTAAGCCCAAGCCTGAGCCTAAGCCTGAGCCTGAGCCTAAGCCTAAGCCTAAGCCTAATGTCAAAAAAATCCCAAAATCGACATGTCAGATCTCAAATTCCAGACATGAGATCGACCTGAAAATTTGCCAGGATGCTCCTATGGGGGGCGCATGCACAACACCAAAAAGGTGTCCCTTAGCTCCCAGAACTCGCTGAGATCCAAAGAATGGGGTTCAGCCCAAGCCCAAATAGACTTGAGTGCTAGGCGCTAGCAGCTAGCCTACGCACTAAGTCCAAGCCTAAGCCCAAGCCTGAGCCTAAGCCGACCTCAAACCACCGAGAATATCTTGAATTGTCTCTTTAACATCACCTCTAGAAATAGGACTTGTTTATTGATGAAGATTTCAAATAGATCCATTGAAAATCTTTTTCAGCTTGATAAAGATAAAAGCTTAAAGGATAAAGATCTTTATAAGCTTTATCTTTATAAAACAATGGCATTACCTATATGGAATTGTAATCGTTTTCCCTTCACTTGCTCGATAATCAGCAACCGCTCCATGATATTTTTTCATAGCTGTATCCGAAGACATTCCATAAAAAAGTTTGAACTTTCTAAATTCTCAAGATTCATCGGATTACTTTTACTTTCTTTCTCTTCTTGTATTCCTTCTTTCTTCTCTAGATACTGGATAGCTCAATGGTAAAGGAATTGCTCGGAAAGCAAATAAAGAGTTCAATCCCGATCTAGAATCTTTATTACCTTCCATTACTTTCAATCAAATCCCCTCCACTTTGATCGTGTCCAGCAAAGAGACCACCAATCATTACAAAATCAGCACCTAAATGTTCAACGATTCCCTTTAATCGAACAGTTCTTTCTTCTAAATTTAAGTTGATGCTTTACTTAATCCAAGCTTTTCTTTGTGAACTAAAACTTTGAACAAACCAGCTCCAACAGCTTTTGCCACATCACCGGGATTCGTACACCCTCCATCGCTCATCACATGTCCATTAAGACCATGAGCCGCATCAGCGCACTCCAAAACAGCCGACAATTGGGGATAACCGACACCGGCTTTCTTTCTCGTTGTACACACTGAGCCTGGGCCAATTCCAACCTGAAAAGACGATTTTATGAACTTTTCCCTTTCTCTTTCCCCCCCACCTTTACAATATCAGCTCCACTCAAGATCAACTCTTCAACCATTTCCCCAGTCACCACATTACCAGCAATGATCGTATGCTTTGGAAATTCCTCTCGTACTCTAGATTTACTTTTTCTTGATTCAAGCAAGAGAAACACTTTCGAATAAACTCCACAAATGATTCCGAGTAACCGTTGGCCACATCAATGCAAATGTACTCAAGTCTAGGGATCGCTTCGCAAACGGCTTTCAACTAAAAGCTTTCTTTATGTAGTCTAAATGATTGTGGAGGTGCGTAATCGCTTGTCATCTGGCTTCTTTTTTTTTGGCATAAAGGAAAGGAGTGACTGAGTCTTTCGGCTTTCTTAGTTTTAGCTTTCTTTCTTAGCTTTCTTAGCTCTATGATCAATTTTTTGTAGTTAATCCTTGGTTTTAATTTGGCAATATTTTACTGCAAATTCTACATCTTTCTAAATTAAAACTAGCAAGGTTGAAAGTGATTTCAATCTTGCTTTTAAAGTGGATTTCATGGTGTTAATCCCCGATAAAATCAAATATCTAAAAGATATTGAAAAATCGATTTACTTTACTTATTCTTATATCAAAAAAACTATTAAATCTAGTTTCCAATAATTTGATTTTAGTTTAGAATTGAGAATTGGAACTTAAGAATCAAAAACTTAAAGTGCTTTTAGATTTAACTTTACCTTGTCGAAGTCAGCAGCACTAATCCCAGACGAGACGGCAGTATGCGCAAAGAAATCATCATCAGCACTTTTCCCTTTCTCAATCCATTCCTCGAGCTGAATTTAGAGTAATAGTCATAGCGTTTAGCCTTTCACCGTATAGTGCTTGTGAATCGTCGTGAACATTTTATACTTAGCCAACTCGTCGGCCATTGCAAAAGTGCCCACTGTGTCCATATTTGAAGCAACAATTGGAACTCCGGTAAACCTATATCTGAAGTTTTTCTAAGACAAATCTAAATCACTTTTTCTTTGAGTTCCGGAACTCAAACTCTCTGACAAGATCGACGTCTTGACGTGATCGAAGAGTCGAGCGTTTCGGTCGTAAAAGAACATCTGAATAAGTTAATCTTTTAACTCTATCAGAAGTTTATTTTTTGGTATTTTTCTTCACTTCTATTGCACTCGACAATTTGCCACCGGGATATATTCGTCATGTCATGCTTCATCAGTTCCTACAAGAGCACAGTGCAGTCTTGGCAGCTGCTAATATTAAAAAGATATATCGGGAGGACTCATCTTCCGAAAGACTCTATCAGTAGTGAACTCTATCAGTGAACCCTATCAGTAGTGAACTCTATCAGTGAACCCTATCAGTGAACTCTATCAGTAGTGAAGTTTTTAAATAAAGTAGATAAATAATTCTTTTGGTTAGAAATTTAGTTAGAAAAGAATCAGACGTCTCACAAATAATTTTTAACTTATTTTTGATGCTGATTAGTTTCAAATTTATCCAATTATCTACCTGAGCACTTTGAAATTTAGAACATGACTTGACAAGAATATTTTAAGCCTTTTAACCCCTTTTAATGCTTTCAACTTTTTAGGGTAACTTCAATGAAACAAACCTTTAAAATCAAGCTTCGGTTCGTAGTCAATCCTCGGCATTTTCAAAAAATAGTTGTCAATTTAGATCAATGTTTTAAACGTAATGTTGAAGTTGAAGGGAAAAAGAAAAGAGTTTTGTGATCGACTCTCGTTCAATGGACAACTGTTCCTCTTTTTCCAGATCAAAAGAACCCTTTTTATTCACAGCTACTTCTTTGAACAATTGTTTACCTATAACACAAAGAACTAGCAATAGCAAATTATGTTCAAATCTTGAATCTTAAGCCATGTGTTGCTTTTCATATACAAATATTGCAACAATATGGAAAGCTTCAAAAAAATCATTGATAATCGTTTGGAGAATTCTCGACTTTTAAACTATTGTTTATCTATAACACAAAGAAATAGCAATAGCAAATTATGTTCAAATCTTGGATCCTGAGCCCTAAGCCATGAGCCATCCTGAGCCATGCTTTTCATATACAAATATTGCAACAATATTGAAATCTTCAAAAAATCATTGATAATCGTTTGGGGAAGTCTCGACTTTTGAATTATTGCTTATCGATAACACAAAGAAATAACTACCGTAAATACTGTAATAGTACCCCACCCCCATAATGACGGTGCGGAGTGTTGCGTAGTCTAGCTTTGAACGAGTTTCTCTCGACAATGGTTTATGCTACAATGCGCGCTTTGGTATCAAAAAATAGCTGAAATTCAGGGCTATTTTTTTGATACCAAAGACCCATTTTTTGAAAGTATAGGCGCTTTGAAAAAAATGAAATACTAAAAAACTTTTTCGACTACGCGACTGTACGAGGAGGGTGGGGTACTATTACAGTATTTACAGTAATAATATTTACTATAAAATCTTAGTCAATCATTCGGGACAAAGAGAACGAGTTGCGCTAAGAAATTATCCGTTTAAAAAGATTCCAAATATGCACATACTATTACAGTATTTACGGTAATTATGTTCAAATCTTGGATCTTAAGCCATGTTTTCCTTTTCATATACAAATATTGTAACAATATTGAAAGCTTCAAAAAATCATTGATAATCTCAATCTTGAGACAATCAATTCATTGCATTTAAGCGCTACTTTTCTGGTGTATATTTGAAAAGTAGCGCTTAAATGCAATGAATCGATTGTCTCAAGATTGAGATTATCAATGATTTTCTCTAGATTTTTCTGCTTTCTTCTTGTAACTTTAATTTAATCAGCTTTCATGTTCAGAAAATATTCCTCTTCCTTCTTTTTTTCAATTCCTTTTTCTCATTTTTGCTTTTCCAAGTACAGATTTTCTCAGTTTTCAAACTTTTCTATCAAATTTTTGTTTTCATTTCTTTATTATTCGATGAAAGAACAAGAATCTACAGTCAGTACGCAAAAAAATAAAACAAAAAAAGGAAACCGACAGGAAATGATACCGGCAAACGGGGGGAGTCTCGCAATGATTTTAAAGAGAGAAAAGTTGAAAGTAATTGAAAGAAAAAAAAATGAAATATGAAAATGGGGAATAAATGAATAAATTTAAAGAATAATATAATCCCCAAAAATTGTAAAAAATCTTGGATCTTTTACAAATCTTTGATCAATAATCGGGAATCGAAAGATTCACCCCGTTCAAGACAAAATTCAAACAAAAAATATCACGATTTGGTGTATGAAGAAGCAATTTTGAAAACCATTTTTATCATTTTTTTTTTTAATCATTTTTCTATATTTATCCATACAAAGTGCTTCTTTGAATTTGAATAAAAAAAAATAAAAAATGCAGTGATTCTCTGACACTGATATGGTTTAAAATCAAAAAAAAAATAAACACGTGAAATACAAAGAAAAAGAAAGAAAACTCATGGCGAGCAAATGAGGTATTTTAGGGGGAAATGTCAAGAATGTTGTTGATTTTGATTTGAGATTTGTGAAAGAAGAGAATCATCTTGAGGTGTTGATTCGATGCAATGGATGAATGGTTCCATCGTGACCACGCTTCAGGAAACGAATGTCCATGATGATTAACTGAAAAAGCATTTCGATTCATTCAGTTAATTCGTTTTTAATCTTGAATCTCAACTTGACTTTGTTTTTAGACTAAAGATCTAGTTCTTTAGCTCTTTAGCTGGATAGCCAAAAGCTCAAGCTTTATTTTGGTACTTAATACTTAGAAGAGTAAAACGTAGCTCTAAATAGCACCAAAATGCGGTACTTGTCGGTTATACATTCACAAAGACTCATCTCGGTGAAGCATCCCCTTCCGAGTCTTCTCGGTTATCGATTTCATTCGACTGATCGACTGATCACTTCAGACGAGCACTCTACTTCAATGAACCCCTTACAAGTTGTCAGTTCCTTGCAACCGAGTTGAGTCTCTGTGGATGTATAACCGACAAGTACCCAAAATGAAGCTTGAACTTCTGGCTTTCTATTAGTAAAGGTTTCAAAGCATTTGAAGCTACAATCACAAAGATATGTTCGTTTTACGCCGAGCATTTCAAAAAATCGATCCTACAACATTTTGGTGTCGATAGCCAAGTCTAATTCGGTTATACATCCACAAAGACTCATCTCGGTGATCATCCGAGTCTTCTCAATTATCGATTTTCGTTCGACTAATCGACTGATCACTTCAGACGAGCACTCTACTTCGCTGATCATAATCACCCCTTACAAGTTGTCAGTTCCTTGCAACCGAGTTGAGTCTCTGTGGATGTATCACCGACAAGTACCCAAAATGAAGCTTGAACTTCTGGCTTTCTATTAGTAAAGGTTTCAAAGCATTTGGAGCTATAATCACAAAGATATGTTCATTTTAAGGCGAGCATTTCAAAAAATCAATCCTACAACATTTTGGTGCCGATAACCAAGTCTAATTCCTATAACCGACAAGTACTCTCTATTTTATCAGGATTGTTTCAAAGCCAGTTTGTCAAGGTTTAAAGCCTAGCTTCTGGCCTTTCATAGCTTGTAAGCTGTACTGTAAAACTATAGCCAATAAATAGACGCTGTAATGAAGCAAAATTTGCATAATAAATTGATTAATTGATACAAAACTAGTTGAAGAACATCTTTTTAATGCATTTATCTAGCGTACCGCTCCATCCGATGTACAAGCAGCGAGTTTCTCTCCCGTTCGATTAAAGGCTACTTCAAAAACACCGCCCTCTTCTTTATTTCCTTTCCAAGCAGTCACCGGTTGAGCCATCTTAAAATTCGTAAAAATATGATATCTTTTCAAAATAAATAGCCAAAATTATTGTAAATTTAAGCTAAAGGACTTACATTTACATCCCAGACGATTACTGAACGATCGAAGCTACCCGAGGCGATGAATTTCCCATTAGGACTGAAAATAGACATTTATTATAAGAATAGCATACTCTAAGAGTACTGAAAAATACAAGATTGTAAGAAAATGATTGTCAAATTTCCGATTCATTTACCCGAATGCCACAGAGTACACAGGATCGGTGTGTCGATGGAGAACGGCCACCTCTCTGCCCTCATTTCCATCCCAAACGCGAACCGTTGTGTCAAATGAAGCACTGAATGGATATAATAAGATCTAATCATTTCTAATCTTTTATCCAGTAGATCAAGTAGATCTTTATCTCTTTTGAAATGTTGATTACCTCGCCAGAATTGATCCTTGTGGTGACCATCGAATTGTATAGATCTCTCTCGAATGTTGTTTAAAAGTATGAACTGGTTCATCTTCTGTTAGCGACCAAATCTAAACATGGATAAATTGTAGCTTAGTATTTAAACTTTATAAAGTTTCTAGTGAACTCACTTTTATCGACATATCATCAGAACAACTGGCGAGTCTCTTCGAGAAAGAATCGAACCGAACCGCGTTCACCTCACTAGCGTGACCCTAGAAAGAAATCTATAGATCTATAGATAAATCGCTTAAATCTATAGATAAAATTCTTAAAAGCTTATTCTGATAAAGGCTTTTTTCTTACCGTATACGTGCGAATCGGTCGATCACATCCAACTCTACAAACATTAATCGTTTGATCGGTGGAACAAGATGCAAAAGTGTCATCGGAGATCCAATCAACGTCGAGAGCTGACGCGGAATGGAATTGAAATTGTTGCTTGTTTTGACCTGAAATCAATTTTTATTTCTATTATATCGAATTTCTTTACTTTTTATCGGATCCCAAACAATTGTTGATTTGTCAACACCGGCTGAAAGAACAAGGTCACCAGAGGGATTCCATCTCAACGCAAAGATCGGTCCTTTATGAGCACCCAGAGTTGAATGAAGTTGTCCTAAAATGGGAATAAATTTATGATAAACCTATCGTTATTCTATGCAATAATATTCTCAGGTAACAAACCATTTGTGGTGTCCCAAATCCTCGCAAAACCATCATAACACCCGGTCGCTATCTTCCCTCCATTTCGATGCCAATCAATCGATGTCACGTCTTTATTTGCCGGTTTTTGATCTTGTTGTATCACTCCAAGATAATGTTTAAATAAATAGCCATTCTCATATTTTGAATCCGGATTTCGCATGTCTTCACAATCTTGGAGATTCCAAATCCGTGCTGTTGAGTCACCGGAGCTAAATTTCCTTTATGATTCATACAAAGAGAAGAAATTCAGCAAAATTCGACTATCCCTGGTTCAATTTATACCTGTAGTACATATTATATTTTACTGAACTCACCCCGACGCCAGCACATCCTCTTTCGGACTCCACGAGCAAATGAACACCTCATGCAGATGTTTCTTGAACATTCGCACTCGACTTTTTTCAATCTCAATGTGTTCTAGATTCAAATCCTTTCCTTTCTCATTTCCGTTGACTCCATTCGTTCTGAAAATTCGCATGATTATAAAAACAGATCTCTATAACCATTATTTAACTCTAACATTTCAGAAATAGAAGTAAGTGTTCTTCTAGAGCTTCTAGAACTTCTAGCTTCTAGAGCTTCTAGAACTTCTAGAACTTCTAGAAGCTTCTGGAGCTTCTAGCCTCTAGATATTCTAGATATTCTAGATATTCTAGATCTTCTAGAGCTTCTAGAGCTTCTAGATCTTCTAGATCTTCTAGAACTTTTAGCTTCTAGAACTAACCCTTGAGAGTATGCCATTGATGCAGCCATTTGTTTCTTGATCACCGGGAGGACTCCATTTGGGGAATTCTCGACCTCTTGTTTAATCTTAAAATTAAATAAAATATTTTTATTTTATCGTTTTGAATATTGAAAGAAAGCTAGACAACAGTGCATTATTAATGAATTCGGGGAAAAGTTTTAGTGTCTGATTGGCTGAATCACTTGCTCAAACAAGTAATTTGGAGATTAATTTAGGTATAATTTAAAATATAAATCAAAATAATTGGAAAGTTTTTCAAAAGTTTACCTTTGCAAATCCCTTTTTTGAGACGCCATTCTGCTTGGGAGTGTTGCATTGACGATCGTTTCTCGCTTGGCGATCGCGCGCTTTTTGGGAATCTAAATCAGTTTAAAGAATTGAAGATTGAACAGACAGATAATCGTAATAGTAATTGATTTTACCGTTTGAAGTAGCGCTCAATTGATTGTCATTGCTGGTGGATGGACCGTCTTCAGCTTTTATCGAAAGCTCGGCCGCCGCCGCTGCCACATCTCTCATCTTGTGCCGAAGGACTTCTTTCTCTTGGGCTAAAAGTTATTATAATTGGGTTCAAAGTTTATTAGTATTAAACTTTTAAAGATCAAGAACTCTTCTGGCATAGACAGGATTTAAGAAATCCCATTGTTGCTAGAATTTCTCTACTAACCTGCATCGAAGAGTGTCAATCGTTCCTTGAGCACTTGACTGGCTTCATTTGCATTGGGCACCATAGAGATGAGCTCAGATTCAGCGTAGAACATTCCCCGTTGAAGAATTTTAATGAGTGCAGCATGGGGAATTTCTCTGGAGCTCGTTTCAACTTGTGATACCCGAGACTCAGCGGCAAAGACGAAAGCCGTGTGTTCAAAGCCTAAATTATGTTTGATAGAATTGAAATTTATTGTAAATTTAATTGTAAATCTATTTTATTATCTATTATCAATAATATAACAAAAAGAGAACATTCCAATAAGCTTTTCTTGATAATTTTTGGCTTTTGAAGACTAATTTAGTGATGCTACATATGTTTTTTATTCTCTTTTTAATCCTTCCAACTCTTGATCCACGTTTCTCAATGATCTTTTCTATTATATCAAAATTCAAAGTGATCTGTTACACAGGAAATATTCAATATTTAATCTGCTCATCAAAAAGGGGCGGTTCGACCTAAAAAAGGACCTGCACTCAGCAAAAGACAATCTTTTTCTTCTCTTTCCATTTTTTTATCTCTATTTCTCTATCTCTCATCCGAGAATCTGAGAAAAAGACAAAAGTTTGAGAGATTTTTTTATAAAGAGATCCAGACATTGAGGGGACATTTGTTGTGGGGAACACAAAGAACGATCAATTCCCCGATTCAGAGAGAGCTGCAGAAAGCAAAAAGGGGAACTCACAAACGCTGACGTATCGCTTGAAAACTCTTTTCTCGTGAGACCACAGCTGCACATTTTTGGAGAAGTAAAATATTCCAAGAATTTTGTTTAGATCAAAAAGTTTGTGCTAATCGGTGAGAATCGAGAATTTATGTGATAAAATTTGGATTTAGCCTAGATTAGTCTAGAATAATACCCATTAGTAACAGTTTCTGCTTTAAAACAGTGTTCAGGAGAAAGTTTTAAAGATTATGAAGAGTTTAAAGCTTTAAAAAGTCTATAATCAATGTTTAAAGTACTGGCTGGTTAAAGTTTCAATGTTTTAATGTTTCAACAAAATGCTTGACTTGAGTAGAAGATGAATACCGTATTTTCTCTAATAGTAGTGCAATTGATGACTATTTTACGGTTTCCAAGCTTTTGCAGAAGCTCAACACTCAAATCCCCCACTAGATCTTATCGTCAGCTACATTTTCCGACCACACATCAATAGGTTCTGATAAGCGGTTTTCGAGATTTCGAACAATTTAGGCAAGGCTCATGGTGCACTACCATTTTCTCTAATAGTAGTGCACCCCGGTTGGTGTCTATTGTGCGGTTTCCAAGCTTTTGCAGAAACTCAACACTCAAATCCCCCACTAGATCTCATCGTCAGCTACATTTTCCGACCACACATCGATAGATTTTGATAAGTGGTTCTCGAGATTTCGAACAATTTAGGCGACGCTCACGGTGCACTAGTATTAGAGAAAATATGGTAAATCTTTCCCAAGCCTTTGAAAGAGACTTTTTAGTGCAATAATTCCTTTACTTTACTCTTAGAACTGCTTGAACGTCTACAATAGAACTATAAAGCTCCAAGAACTTTACAGACCAGTTTAGAGTAAAAAAACTCCCTATCTATCTTACAGAAATCTACACAATGCAGCTATAAACAAAGGCAACTTTGATTCTAGTAAATATTAGCCTCTAAAACTTCGAAATTCTGTCAGCTCAGAAGGCAAACGAACTTGTGTCCAAATTTGCAACAAATCTGAATTTCTTAGATTCTATTTTTTTCACAAAAACTAAACTAGATGGCCTTCTCTAAGGTTTTTCTTTTCTTTTCTTCGTTCACGGCCTTTTCTCTACTCTTCATCGAAAGAAGAAAAGAATGAAAGAGGGAAACGAAAAGAGGTCGACCCCCATCAAAAAGAAAAAGGGATGGGGCAGCACAACCGCGCGCGATTTCCCCTCAATTCTCTGTCTAAACTCTCTCGATTTCTCTAGTCTTTAAAAATCGTCTCTTCTCAACCTCCAATCTATTCTTTTTCTTGTTTTTCTCTGAATTTTCTGTCAACTCGCCAATCTTTTTTCTCTAAACCCTCCAAATCTAACATACTATTTCATTCTTTTTCTTTTTCTTTCTCCCAATTTTCTCTTTTCGCCCCGTTGTCTCTGCGACGACTTCACCCTTTTCGATCGATACTTAGAGGGCCAAAAAGAAAAGGCGAATGCGAATGAACTAGCCGAGTCACTCAGCAAAAGAGACTCTCTTTGTCAATCACAGGGATTGGGGTATTTTCAAATAACATCAATTTACAAGAATCATATCCGATTTGAAACTATTGAAATCTTAAATCTTAAATAAAGGCGTTTATCAAGGTAAAGAGAAAACTAATAAAAGATCAAAGGAATCAAAGATCAAAGTGTTTGAAGTTTAAATGAATGATTGAAAACTTTTCGAATAAGTTTACGAACTTTTCTTTCAGATTTTAAACACTTCAGTGTAAAGAGGATTTAAAAAAAAAGAACTCACCAGCTTCTAGAAGATATCTGAAGACGAGAAGGTTCAATTCATCACTTGAGAATGACATCTTATGCTCATTCTATCCAATACGATAGAAATTGATGTGATTGATGCGATCGATTCGAACTTTTTCACTAGACTTTCCTTTTTGTTTAAAAGCACAAGAGCAAAACTGAAAATTGAAAATTTCGTAATAATATGAAGACATTTAAAAGATATAAAAAGTTAAAAATTCTTATATTTATAAGATTGAGATCTTTTTATAAAGGTGCAAAAGAAAGCTTTATAAAAAGTAAACCATGCTCAGCTCTTACTCAGCTATTTTCAAAGCTATACTAGTCTTGACTTAATCAATAGAAATTCTAAAACCCTAAACACTTTACACATAAGTTTAAAGCCTTAAAAAAGCTAATCACATTTAAAATCTATGAAAATTAAAACTTTTTCATGTTTTTTTCGTATACTGGCTTTAAGATTTGAGGGATTTCTTTTAAAAAAATGTAATTGTTTCAAATTTAATGGAGAATCTTCATTTTTGTAAAGAAATTCTCGTAAAGAAAGCTTTAAAGTGTTTAAAGAGAATAACGAAATTTGAAAATCACGTAGTGTTGGGTGAAAATTGGAAGTAGACATTTTGAAAGGGGGGGAAATGGGAGAGATGGACAGGAATGAATAGAGACGCAGACGATGCACAGCGAAATGACAAGCGAAAACGAGAGACGGAAAAGGAGGGACTTTCAATAAAATAGCCGATTTAAGCAAAAAGTTCTTGATTTCATGAAAACTTTGCTTAAACTCGAGGAATTTGTTGGGAAAATGTGAAAAATGTGAAAAATTTGTTTGAAATCTTTGCCTCAAAGTTTACTCATTCGTTTAAAGCTTTATAATATAATTTTCGAAAAAAAGAGTCGATAAATTGATTAAAAATAAACAATTGTTAATAAAAGTCTTTAAAATTAAAGAAAATTTAGATAGAAAAATAGATAAAAGTGATTACTTTTTGTTTAATTAAAAAGTTTTGAATAATGATTTTTGGTAGTGCCTCTGGCATTTATTAGACAAAAACTTGCCCATCTGGCTTTCTCTAATAATAGAGAACAAAGTAAACCATGCTCAGCTCTCACTCAGCTATTTTCAAAGCTATACTAGTTCAAAGCTATACTAGTTCAAAGCTATACTAGTTCAAAGCTATACTAGTTCAAAGCTATACAAAAACTTGCCCATCTGGCTTTCTCTAATAACTAGAGAAAGATCACAAAGTAAACCATGCCCAGCTCAGCTCTCACTCAGCTATTTTCAAAGCTATACTAGTTCAAAGCTATACTAGTTCAAAGCTATACTAGTCAAAGCTATACAAAAACTTGCCCATCTGGCTTTCTCTAATAACTAGAGAAAGATCACAAAGTAAACCATGCTCAGCTCAGCTCTCACTCAGCTATTTTCAAAGCTATACTAGTCTTGATTTAATAGAAATTTTAAAATCATAAACACTTTACACATAACTTGCCTATCTGGCTTTCTCTAATAATAGAAAAAGATCAAAAAAAGAAAGAAAGAATCAATTAAATCAATTAAACAACTTTCTTGATCTAATATTGAATTATTTCATTTAAAAACATTTAGATATTCAATCTTTTTTCTGAAATTCATCCAGATTTAGATAATCTTTCTATTTCTTAATAAAGTTTTCTTTTTGATTTTACTTTTAGATGAGAAACTTTGATTTAAAAGAGTTTTCTTTAGCTTTATTTGATTAATCTCTTGATTTCATTATTTTTAACTTAATTTTCATTATTTTCTCTTTGAATTCTTTCCAAATCATTTACTTATTCTCATAGTAAAACAATTTTATTTTAAACTTTATATTTTTAGATAGAAGAAAAAAAACATGAGTTTCGTTTTAAGATCGAAAAAAGAAGGATGGAGAGATGGGAAGAGATGGGAAAAGGAAAAGAGAAAGATTTTCGAAGAGAAATAGAAAATGAATAGAGTAAGAGAAAGGAAAAAGAGATAGAGAAAGAGAAAAGGAAAGAGAAGAGGAGGGCAATTTGACAGATGCCGCTGGCAGAAGGCCAGAGGGAAAAGGAATCGACAGAAAAGAAAATGTTGAGGAAATTTTGATGTTGAAGATTAAAAAACAATTATTCGAGTTGATCGTGAATTGGTTTGGATTTGGATTCGTTTTGAAAAGCTTTAGATTTAACTTGTTAACTGCTTTGGATTTAACTTAGACAAGCTAGATTACTTTAGTTTTCGATTTAACTTGTTAATTCAACTTAGAACTCAAGCTAGATTACTTTAGTTTTGAATTTAACTTGTTAGTCCAAGTTAGACAAGCTAGATTACTTTAGTTTTGGATTTAGTTTTTGTTAGTTCAAGTTAGACAAGCTCGATTACTACTACTTTACAAAGCTATGCTCAGATTTGTAATAGTAATCTAGTATTTGCATTTGTACTAGTAGTTGTGTGATAGCTAAGTTGAAAATTGTAGCTAAAGTTCATTGCATTTAAACCTTTATGCTGCTCTAATCTTAAGTTGTAAAAGAAAACTTTCATAGAATTGCTTTAGATTTTGCTTTCTTTAGATTCTTTAGTCTTCTCTTTCTTCTTTTACGTTAAAGCTCTTTCTTTATCTTTTTTTCTCTACAACTTTATCAATTAAATGAAAACTTTTAAGACAAAAGAGTAAAGTTCTCTGTTTCCCACAAAAAGTGAGATATTTTCTCTTATTTAAACTTTTTGAGTTACTCATTGCTATTATTAAGAAAATATTTTTAAATAATTTAGATTTTTAGTCGAATCATCTTTTAGTTCTTAAAATAATACCATATAGATTTAAAAACCTCAACAAATCCACTCTCAATCTCTATCAAAAAAGAAACTGTGTATATGTTTTTATTGTCTTGTGATCGGTGAGAATCACCGATCGTGTTCCGTCTCCCCGTTTTGAAGGAAAAAAGGGGAGGAGTGGGGATAGAAGAGACATTGGGGTGATATGAAACCAGCTTAGAAGGCCTACAAGAGTCCGGATGGAGATGCAGAGATGGAAAGGAAGAAAGCTAGAAGAGTGGAGAGTCGGATAAGAGAAGTGGAGGAGTAGACTGGCAGAGATAGAGACGGGGGGAAAAGAGGGTAAAAGGCTCGGCGGTTGCTCACTGGATGTAGCCCCAACGGGCCGGGGACCGAGGCCCTCTCTTCCTCTTTCTTTAGAAATCCATACAATGTCTTCAATTACAAGTTATCTAGAGAATTGTTGGAGGAGAGTTTCCGGAAATCTAGATAAGTTGTTTTTTAATCCCCAGTTTGAATTTAGATAGAGCAAGTGATGAATTAGAAGTGGAATTATAGCTAGAAAGAGTGGAGGGGGATTATAGCTTGAAAGAGTGGATCTTTGAATAGCTAAATAGCTAGATATTGAACTTTAAGCTCAACCAGTACTAAGGATAAGCTGGCTTGAAGAAAAGGGATTCTAATTGAATCGTAAACACTGATAGATCACTATCAGATCACTACACTATTCTTCTTTAAACTCTCATAGTTTTAGATATAGCTAAATAGTTTTAGATATCATTTATAACATTTTAACTATTTTTATTTAGTTCATCTTTATTTGAAGATTGAAAAAGGTTTTTCAGGGGCTATTTCTAGTTATCTTTTAATGTTATAAATGGTATTTTAAACTGAAGTTTTGAAGTTTAAATTGAAGAAAAAACAATTGAAGTTTAAATGAATACTTTTCCTAAAAACTATTCAATATCTTTTCAAATGAACTTCTATTCAATTTCTATTCAATTTCTATTCAATCTCTATTCAATTTCTAAACCTCTAAACTTGATCTTCATCTTGAAATTCAATAAATTAAAGCCATCAAATCTTTCAATTGAGGAAAATCAAATCTTTTCCCCACTTTTCCTCAATCAAATCTTTTCCCCACTTTTTTTACTCGACTTATTTTGATGAACTTTCAAATATTTTGACTATTTTTCTCATCATTTCTCTGTCTCTTTATGTATTCATATCGAAAAAAACGTTTGTCCTCCAAAAACAGTTCAAAGAAAAGAAGAAAAAGAAGAAAAAGAAGAAAAAGAAGAAAGAGAAACGATCGTGTGGGTGTCGAAATAAGGCTAGAGTTAAGAGAAAGAGGAAGAAAATAGGAATTCGAGATTTTCGAGAGACAATGAGGCAAGTGGAGAGCACAGACGTTTATAGAAATTTCTCTGCTGCTCACCGCCCGTTCCCCTCCATTTCAGCCATTTCCCGATCCCCTTTTCCTGAGGTGACAAGAATATGAATCGATCTCTCCTTTTTCCTCAATATTTACCCATATTAGCTTAGTTACTCGATTAGTCGGCTTCTTTTTTTTTACCCAATTTCTTGGCATGACTATAAACGATTTGATCGGATTTCTGATGCGAGATTTCATTCTTTTTTTGATCTAAACCAAAGTCAACTTAATTTTTATTAAAATTATTATTATATTGTTTTAAAAAAAACGGTTATTTATAGATAATTATGATTATATTATTATATTATTATATATAAATCAAAAAAGCAAAGGAAAAGAAAAGAAAAGTGGCAGAAAAAGATGTTAAAATGGTGAAAGATTGAACAAAAATGTCTAAATGTTTAAAATGATTTGGACAAAAGTGTTTAAACGATTAAAAAGTAGAGAAAAGTTGTCTCTTCTCTATTACAGTGTACTATAATTGTCAACAAGATAAAGCTATATAGAAAAAGAATTTAAGAACATCAACAAATCCTGAAATTCCCCTCTTTTCGATCAAGTTTCCCTGATTGATGAGGGAAAAGTACGGTAACGAATCCACGATTTCTGGCAAAGATGATCTTCAATTGATAACGCTTTTAAAAACAGCTGTTTCGTTAAATGTTTCACTATTATTTGCTAAAGGAAATTGTTTAGATTAGATTCTATTCATATTTAATTGTCTGGTTTGATGTATTTTCGAGATGGGTGCCAGTGAAAGCAGTCCGAGAACCATTGAACGACAAGAGATCAAGCTCAGCAATACACCGTTTCAGCGAGTTCAAAGGATCTCAAGAAGGAAAAATGGGAAATTGTTGCAAGGTGATTTCCGTTAAATTTCGTCATTTGAAATAGCGATGAGCTTATTAGAAAATCAGCTTCAAATCAGCAAAATCAGCCTTTAAACTTTTTCAAACATTTAAAATACAGTAGATGCTTTATTGAGTTGAATAGCGACAAAAAGAAGATCACAATAATCACCCAGGACACCACTCAAAATACACTCAAAAGATAAAAAGATATCTGAAGAAAGAATCACAGAGCAGTCAAATTAATTGCCGAAATTGTGGCTTTAAATCTAGCCAAGTTATCAAGTTGTTCTTGATTTCAAATGAATCAATCAATCAAATGAATCAATTCAAATGAATATATTTAATCAAATCAATCAAATCAAATAAATAATAATATCACGAACATGAGGTAAAAGATTTCACAATTTAATAACTCGATTAAAGAAATTGTGGGAGGTTTTAAAGGAAACGGAAAGTTGATTTATGAGAAAATCGATGATAATCTCCCTTCTGGAGGCCTGAAGTAGAGAACCATTCAAAGAGAATTCAAAGAAACCAGAAAAAAGGGATCGGGATGAATGACTTTAACAATTTTAAAGCATTCCACTAAATCGATGATAAGGCGGCGTTGGTGTAACGTTTCAAAGAGTTGCAATCTATCAGAATAACTAAAGGAGGAGAATTTATCAAAATTCATTTTATAAAGCGCAATTCTGGTGAAGTGCCTCTGAACAAAATAGGGAAGAAGATCAATCAAAATAGGGAAGAAGACCAAATCAAAGAAGCGTATTCAAGAATAGGACGGAAAAAGAATTTAGTAATAAAATAATAATTAATAGTAATTCAAGAATAGGGTGGAAAAGAAAGTTTATGAAAAAGCTTTTTTCTTTTTCTTTCGGAAAGTTGGCGTATGAGAAAAGGTTCTCTTCTGGAGGCCTGAAGTAGAGAACGATTCAAAGAGAATTCAAAGAAACCAGAAAAAAGGGATCGGGATGAATGACTTTAACAATTTTAAAGCATTCCACTAAATCGATGATAAGGCGGCGTTGGTGTAATGTTTCAAAGCGTTACAAACTATCAGAATAACTAAAGAATAACTAAATATCAAATTGTTTTTGCTTTCAAATGAATCTATTGAATCAAATAAGAAACTAAATAACTAAATAACTAGTATTTATAGCATTTCTAACAAAAATCCTTTAAAATAGACTAAAAATTTGAAGTAGTGCTGAGAAATTGGAGATTTTAAGCGCTATCACTATCTTAGAAGTTCTAAAACTAAAACTAAAACATGAACCATAATGAAAAATACAATTGATTTAATCATTTATAATGAAATGAAGTTTTAATTTCAGGAATCCTCTTTGAAAGCTCGATCGCTTATGGAAATGAGTGCCGAAACGCGATACAGGTATTGCTTCTCAGAGACTCAGTCATTGCTTCTCAGAGACTCAGTCATTGCTTCTCAGAGTCTCAGCCATTGCTTCTCAGAGACTCAGCCATTGCTTCTCAGAGACTCAGTCATTACTTTTCATTCATTAAATTTCAGTACTTGAAACGATTTCGACATCCAGACATTTTGAAAGTTTTGGCTCAAAAAGATCTACCAGATGGATCGATTTTGGTTGAAGATGCAGAGCCGCTTTGCTCGAAGAGTTTCACTGAGTTTGGTCTATCTCAAATTCAAAGTGGATTGTGCTCAATTGGAAATGCGCTTCTATTTCTTCACGAATCTGTAAGTAAAGCAAATGATTATTAAAGATTTAAAAGCTAAAAAGCTAAATATTAAATCCTTTAGCATTCAAAGCATTATTTTTCTTTAAACTCTTTAGCATTTCATTTTCAGGCCGGCATTTCCCATAACAATCTTTGCACGGCGACGATTTTCGTTCGATCGAATGGAAGCTTTGCGTTAGCTGGGTGCGTTGTAATAATAGAGAAATTTAAAGTAATATTAGCACTGTTTACTTTTAATTAACAATTAATTAATAATTAACTTTTTGATCAATTTAGTTTCGAGTATGCGATCGAGTTATCGAAAGAGCCGCAACCCCGACAACGCCTTCAAACTGACGCTTTTTTAGGTGTACAGAAAGAGGTACTTGTTCAGAAAATTGTTGAGATTAAGAATTATTGTAATTCTTTTTAGACAAATGGTTCTTTACGAGATGCTTATTTATTTGGACAACTTATTCAAGAGATTTCTAAAGAATTTGAATTACCGGAGAATCTGATGGAGTTATCGGATGGATTGTGTCAAGCAGATGCTGCTGAGAGATTTTCAATAAAAGATGCTCTTGCTCATCCAGCTATGCAGGTGAATAGGCTGAAATTAAAGCTTTAAAAGCTTTGAAAGAGCTAAAAGCTTTCAAATTGAATGTTTTTAGAACGATCTGGCCACAATATTAGATAAACTCGTCAACTTCTCGGTTCTTCAAATTAAAGAGAAAGAAGAATTCATTCAGTGAGTTTCTATCTATTACAAGCACAACATTTCAATTCATCATTATTTATATTTTTGATTTAAGATCATTGCCAAATCGTCTTGATGCTCTCGATGCAACCTCAGCTGGTTCTCTTCTCTCCAAACCGCTTCTTTCAAGACCAGTGATGTTCTTTGAGGAATCGCATAAAACACTATATCCTCGATTTTTTAAACCAAGTAAGGAACTATCAAGTAGTACAGTTATTTTACAATAGTAACTTTAAAAAATAGTTAAAAAACTAAGCCTAAACGCAAACAAATCATTTAGAAACATCAGCTTCTAATGGAATTTTACCCAGCGAGATTTACATCAAATATGCTCTTCCAGAGGTATTCATCATCTAATCCTCTAATCAAATCTAATCATCTAATCATCTAATCATCTAATCATCATCTAATCATCATCTAATCATCTAAACTAATCATCTAATCATCATCTAATCATCATCTAAACATCTAATCATCATCTAATCATCTAATCTAGTCATCTAACCATCATCTAATCATCATCTAGTCATCTAATCATCATCTAATCATCATCTAATCATCATCTAATCATCTAATCATCATCTAATCATCATCTAATCATCATCTAATCATCTAATCATTATCTAATCATCTAATCTAATCATCTCATCATCATCTCATCATCATCTAATCAAATTCATTTCAGATTTTGTATATTTGGCGTGTTCGAGATATTGCTGTGAGATTACCGCTGTTGAAATATTTACCACTTTATATTGAAATCGTTTCGAGAAATCATTTGGAGAAAACGATTCTACCGGAGGTAACTTACATACTTTAATATTTGAATATTTTAATATCTTTCAGATTCATGCTGGTGTCGAAGATCAAAATCTTGAACTAGTTGCTTCAAGCTATGAAGGCTTAGCCACCTGTGTTCGCGTTCTCGGCCCAGCCACAGTCACTGGGACATCGCAGAAAAAACTCTTCAAAGATAGCACACCAATACAGGTAAGGCCGAATCAATTATTAGCATCATTCTGAAAATACAGAGCTTATAGAGATGTTAAAAACGTTTAAATAGTATCGATTTTAAGATCTTTAAGTTCAAACTGCAAAAAAATGATTCTTGTTTAGAGAGCTGATTATTCCAATGGTTATCTTGAGCCAAAAATCATTGCTTACAAGGAACAAGAAGTTGAATCAAACTTTCATAGCCCTCAAGCACCATCCTCTTCAGCTGTCTTTAGTGGAAGTGAAGAAGTAACTTTTAATTGTTAATCTGAACTGAAATGAAATTCTTTTAGGAACCAAATGATGAATGGAATGAGGATTGGGGAGAAGATGAGAAGAAATCGAATGAAGAATCAATCCAATCATCCGAAATTCAAACAATCCCACAAATCCCTGCTCTGGACACAAATCGAAACAGGGTAAACAAATCTGAAACAACAAGAATCATCACAACTTGTTAATTTAATGTTAACTTATTAAATTATCCAAAAAATTCTCAAGTTTCAGTTGCAACACCAATCAACAAAACAACTAGATATTGTTGATGTGAAAGAAATTCAAGTAAAATCTGCTGAAGAGGATTTTTTTGCCGACATGGCTCCGGAGATCAAAACAGAGGGAACATTGATCGATCGATTGCTCAAAGAACAAGAAGAACGATCGAAACTGAATAACGGTTGGGAAATACTAGAAAAAGATTTATTCACACGAATGTATTGTCAATTGTCAATAGTACAAACAATACATAAACTCTTAAGCCTAAATTTAGGGAAAAAACAATCTAGCAGAGATCTTGATTTCCCGCCTAAGATACATGATGCCAAGATTGAAATAGATTCAAATAAAGCTTTAAGATGCACCAGTTGAGAAGAAGAAGTCGAGCATTCTTTTCTCACTCTCCGAAGATACGAACACCGAGAATGATCATGTGAGTGGCAAAGCTTCAGTAATTACTAAATATGATTTCTTTAAACCGTTGAAAAGTATAGTAAAATTAATATACAATTCTTGATTAGTATTAAATTCATAGTGAAATTAGTATACTATTCCTGATTAGTATATAATTCATAGTAAAGTTAGTATACAATTCTTAATTATTATACAATTCATAGTAAAGTTAATATACAATTCTTAATTAGTATCCAATTCTTAGTAAGTTAATATACAATTCTTGATTAGTATACAATTCATAGTGAAGTTAGTATACAATTCTTGATTAGTATACAATTCTTAGTAATTTAATGTACAATTCTTGATTAGTATACAATTCTTAGTGAAGTTAGTAGTCTAGAATTCTTAATTAGCATACAATTCATAGTAAAGTCAGGATACAATTCTTAATTAGTATCCAATTCTTAGTAATTTAATGTACAATTCTTGATTAGTATACAATTCATAGTGAAGTTAGTAGTATACAATTCTTAATTAGCATACAATTCATTGTAAAGTTAGTATACAATTCTTAGCCAAGTTAGGCCTAAAATTAACTCATGAGTCAAGATTTTAAACTATACTTTATGTGCAGAAGTTTAAAAAAACCCTCTTGAACCGATTTCTTAAAGGCTAGAAGTGTTTTTTGGGCTCATTCTTCATTTTCTAGTGAAAACGATGAAAACTGATGAAAGTGTGCGTTCTTAGAGAAATTTGGAGCACAAAGTAGATCAAGAATCTGCTTTAAGTACAATTTTTCATAATTCTAAACGATTTTCTTTCAGTCAGCTGCTTGGGACGATGATTTAAACCTAGATCCACCGCAAGAAATCGATGAAAAAGAATCAATCGCTTCTTGAGCTTTTATGACTATCATTTAGAGATATTTCTTTGATATTTTTCTTTCTCTCTTCTACAAAGTGCCTTTCATTTTTTGCCATAACTTTCACTAACGCATTTGTGATAGCTTCTCTATGAGCTCATTCATGTTTTGTAAATATTTTCTTAAAAAGTTTCACAGCTTTATATGGGTAAAATAAAGAATTGATCAATAAGAAAGGAAATTTAAAGCCAGACAACCTGGCAATACTGATAATATTTCTCTCAAAGTCTAGAAAATACAAATAATAATTCCCCGGCCTGGGCACTATGTGAAAAATAATAATACCGTATTTTCTGTAATAGTAGTGCGCACTACTATTTTTTTCAACCCCCCTCCAGCCTGCACTACTATTACAGACTGCACTACTATTACAGACTGCACTACTATTACAGACTGCACTACTATTACAGACTGCACTACTATTACAGAAAATACGGTAATTACATATTTGCTGTATTTTTCGTCGCTGGTAGTTGTGTGTCTGTGTGTGCAAAAATCTATAGAGAAGATTTCTGATATTTCTTTAGACACATAAGCTAGAGATTATGAATCTAAAGGAATATCAGAAATCTTCTCTATAGATTTTCGCACACACAGACTGATCAGCCAAGAAAGCTGAAGAAAAATGCGAGTAGCAAAAATCTTTGAAATTATGAAATTCAAAAAGCAATGAAAAGAAAAATTCAACTGAAATGAAATTAAGAAATGGTTTTGTGTGATGCGCAATACAGTAAGATTCATTGGCTGAGACCTTTGCCTACAATAAGATTCATTGTCTAAGCTCTGTGCCTACAGTAAGATTCATTGGCTAAGCTCTGTGCCTACAATAAGATTCATTGGCTAAGCTCTGTGCCTACAGTAAGATTCATTGGCTAAGCTCTGTGCCTACAATAAGATTCATTGTCTAAGCTCTGTGCCTACAATAAGATTCATTGGCTAAGCTCTGTGCCTACAATAAGATTCATTGTCTAAGCTCTGTGCCTACAGTAAGCTTCATTGCTAAGACCTGTGCCAGAAGTTTAGATTAATCAATCCTGAGATACTGTGTCATTCGATTCAAATCTTCTAATCCTGCAAAGATTTGTTCACTCTCTTGAGGCAAAGACTCAGAAATAAATAAAAATCAGTTTTTAGCAAGATCTTCTTAGTTATAGCTCAAATTCTAGACTAAACTGTGAATTGTTTCTGGAATTAATCTAATATAACTCCTATAATATTTAGTTTTTGTCCTCTTTTCAAGTTGGGTTCACATAAATTATTTGAATCACACAATCAAAGCTCCATATTTTGCTCCATATTTTGCGCGCAATTGTTTCTTTAGACAAAGAAGATCAAGAGTGCCAAGGGTCATTCAAACCCTTTCATTCTCTTTTATGATCTTCCGCGAATGATAACCAATTCTCATTATTTGGCACTATTTTGTATGAAGATCAAAGAAGTTTCCGGTAAAAAGAGGCTTAAATAAAAGATTCGAAAAGTCCGCCCTTTTCATCAACTTATGTGACCCAAAGGATAATGAAAAGATCACTTTTAAATGATCTAAAAACTTAGTGATTCTTTTTTAAGATTGGTTCTTAATTTTTATTTTATTCAAACCTGTTTAGCACTTTCTGAATCTTCTTCTTTTGCTTTCAGAAGAAGATTCAGAGATTGCCCGATTGGCAATCTCTGAATCTTCTTCTTTGAAGTACTTCTTCTTTTTCATTACAATATACCAAAGTATTCAGCTCACAGGACTCAATAACTTCTAAACTTTTATTAGAAGCTGAATCTTTGCTATATTGTAAAAGTTTACAGATCTTTAACCTTAAATTAAACCATAAATCCCCTTTAAAGTTCTAAGATTCAAAGATTAGAGCCAGCTTTATTTGAAACTAAGAATTTTAAGAGATCCAACTTTATCTAATCAATTCTAATATACCCAATAATATTTAACTATAATTTAAAGATACTCAACCAATTTTAAGTCAGCTTTAAATAAAGTTTAAGTTAATGGAAGCTGGAGATGTAGAATCTACATTTTTCTAAAAAATATTTGAACTCTATGATGATGAACCTCGAGATTTTTCTGTTTTCCATTGTTCATTAAAAACTTTCTCAATCAATGAATTAGGACTATTCAAATTAAAATCTTCATCAAATTAGGACTACCGTATCCTCTCTAATAGTAGTGCGCACTACTATTTTTTCAACCCCCTCCTTGACCGCAATACTATTAGAGAGTGCACTACTATTAGAGAGAGGTGCCAATTTGATGAAGATTTTTAATTTGAATAGTCCTAATTCATTGATTGGAGTTTTAATGAACAATGGAAACAGAAAATCTCGGTCACATCATAGGAAATATTTTTGAGGATTCTCATCTCCGCATACTATTAGAGAGTGCACTACTATTAGAGAAAATACGGTATTCAAATTAAAATCTCCATTAAAATCTTCATCAAAATCTCTATACTTTCTCCTGTCTCATTTTCGTTGTTTTTCTTGAAACTCTAGATGTTTATCATAACAAACTATTGTGTTTGGAGAAAATTTGAATGCGCAAAAAGGATCTGTCTCTTCATCTATTGAAAGGAGAATCTTCAATGATTCATCTCCGTTTTTAGACTCAAAATTAGACCCAATCTTTGTCTAAAACTTTTGGAAAAACTATCATATCATTTGTGATAACTAACTCGCATATCATTTGTTTAAAAGCTTGATCATTAGATTCTAGAGCTTATACTTGAATCTGAAGCTTGCTGAGCTTAATATACTATTAGAATTGTTCAGAAAATAGATAAAATGACGATTTCCTTTGGTTTAACTGAAGTGTTATCTAGGATTTTTTAATACATGAACTTTTGAAAGTTTTAAATCTAGTAATCCCCTTTTCTAAAGTCTTTCAACTTTCAAATACTAATCTTGCTCTTCTTTTTCTTAAATCTATCTTTTATATTCGTTTAATAGACTTTATAAACACTTATAAAACGACAAAAATGTACACTACTGGACAATGAAATATGATATTTGAAAAAAGATCATCACTTTCGCCCGTCTATAACTCCCTTGTCTTTATCGTATTTCTAAATATTAATATTACCATTGTGTAGCCCTTGAAAAGCGCTTTCAGAAAATGTATAACACTAATAATTTAAACTCAAAGACAAGGGAGTTACAGACGCGCGAAAATGACGCTCGTTTTTTAAATATGATATTTCAATGTCCAGTACTGTAGATAGTATTCAAAATGAATAGAAATCAATGGAAATTAACTAAGACAAGATCTCAGTGTTAGAAATCTTTAAAAACATAAAGTAAATGAGGGAAAGTTGAGAATTAGACATGCAAAGTACACTACTGGACAATGAAATATGATATTTGAAAAAAGATTATCCCTTTCGCCCGTCTATAACTCCCTTGTCTTTACCGTATTTCTAAATATTAGTATTACCATTGTGTAGCCCTTGAAAAGAGCTTTCAGGAAATGTATAACACTAATAGTTTAAACGCAAAGACAAGGGGAGTTACAGACGCGCGAAAGTGACGATCGTTTTTCAAATATCATATTTCATTGTCCAGTACTGTATATCAAAGAAAGAATCATAATCTAACAGCAGGATTAAACCCTTGACCTCTTGACTAAGATAAGTCTAGCCTTAGCTCTTAGCCAGTCGGTCTTGACAGCTTAGTTACAGGTGGTTCAACCCCGGCAGCTTTATCGGGTGGGGGACTCTCAGAACTGTATGGACTGTATAGTTTAAACTCAAAGACAATGGAGTTACAGACGCGCGAAAGTGAGGATCGTTTTTCAAATATCATATTTCATTGTCCAGTACTGTAGATTGAGTAAAAATAGAGACAAGATTACGATAGCTTTTGAAGCTTGCTGTTTTGGTTTTAGTTTTAGTTTTAGAAATCGCATTTCTAGCCTTAGCTCTTGATTTGCATTCTTATCTAATTTGTGAAAGGTTTTCCTTTTGAATTACTTAAATTACTTCAATTTTAGCAATGTTCATTCAAATCTTGAGCCTTTTTGCTGTGCCCTCAACTCCATCAACGACAAGTGTCACTCCAACTACTTCAACAATCGCTATCACTTCCCTACCCGCTTCCACAATCACACCCCAACCTCTGCAGGCCTTAAATAGTAGATACATTTGAATACGTTAGCTAAAAATCGCTTAAGTTAAATGAATTTTAAGTAAATCATAAAGATAAAGGTAGTCTAAAGCACCTTTGACTGTCAGATCTTTAGCTATAGAGTAGCAAAGTTTTAATATAAATTAATGTTTTCATAAAAGCATGAATCAAGAATGCAAAGCCCAGACATTAAAAGCAATTATATTAATTGTTAAAATATTCACTGAATTAAAGTAATAAATATAGACTGCGAGACAGGGAATTGGATTGGTCGTCTTTTGGCCTTTTGTGTTTACAAGGAGGATGATTGGTGGGAGATGGCGAAAGTGACTTCGATTTGGACAGCTATTGCTTTAGCTCTCATTGCAGTCATCGTTGCACTGATTCTTCTTGCTTTTTCTCTTTTCCCCAAAAAGAACAAGACCAAGGTGAGAGGTTTTGAATATCAGAATAGAGGTTCTAAAATGTTAGCTTAACTTCTCATGAATACTCTACCAGAAGAGAGGTTTTAAATGTTAGCTTAACTTCTCATAACCAATCAAAACTAGCACTAGATCATAAAGATCAGAATAGAGGCTTTAAAATGTTAGCCTAACTTCTTATGAGTACTCTACCAGAATAGAGGTTCTAACGTGTTAGCTTAACTTCTCATAACCAATCAAAACTAGCACTAGATCATAAAGATCTAATGGACTTCAGAAAATCAATCAATCAATTAAAGAAAAGACTTCAGAAAGCTAAAGATTTCTTGAAATTTAACTGCTTTACTGCTTTAGTTTGAGAGAATTCTGTAAAGCTTGCCTTGTTGTTGTTAAGCTCTAAGTCTTGCCTTCTAAGTCTAAGTCCAAGTTCAGCTCACAATTCTAGCAAAAGTTTAAAGATTTTATTGAAGTCTACTATCTAGCCTCTAAAAATTCAAAGTTTATGTAAAATATTCAAATTTCAGTCAGTCCTTCCAAACCCTTAACTACCGTCGATCGATTTGACCACTCAATTTCAACTTTTCAATGCTCAAACGATCTTTGTTTCATTCTTGTCATTGCTTGGTAACTTTGTTAAGATTTTGCTCATGTGATTGAAGAGTAAGCTTCAGAGTAAACTTACTTATTTATTTGCCCTATTCATTCCGACTCAAACAATAAAACTTTACAGAATTTTGAAAAGATTTCTGAAAAACTTTATGAAAACTGAGTTTAAAAAATCTTTAGTTTAAACTAAAAACACAAAATTTCACAAAACAAATCATCTTTTTTATAATGTGCTTGTTTTGGTTTCTGCAATTCTGCAATGTAATTCTTGATGCAATTCTTGATACAATTCTTGATACAATTCTTGATACAATTCTTGATACAATTCTTGATACAATTCTTGATGCGATTCTGCAATGCAATTCTTGTTGCAATTCTTGATGCAATTCTGCAATGCAATTCTTAAAATTCTTGGATAAGAACCAAAGTTCATCAAAGAGAAAGCAATGACGATTCGATTATTTTTAGGATATTTTGATAAACGATAAGGTGGTGTTTTTTTTGACACTGAATCAACAGCAAAATAAAATTATGATTTTAAAATCGTATCAACTGCAATGAAAACGATTTAAAAATTCTTTACCAAGCAGGCAATAGTTGATTTCGTTTTTTTTCTTGCTCTTCTAAATATTAGAAATCGTTTATTCATGAAAAGTGAATTTAAAAATGAATTTGTAATTTGAAAATAGGACCCGATCTCGAAGAAAACATTATTTTGAGCAAAATTTAAAGATTTTGAGAGTTTAATATTTGTGAGATGGCCCATGAGAGTAGCGAGTGGGAGCCGAGTATTGCACATGGTGGACACGACCGGGATTCGTGAAAACGATATCGTTCTCTGTTCTGAATTCATCAACATCAATTACTGCACTACTGTAGGATTTAATTAGATTTAATTAGATGAATTAAATAAGATTACCTCTTGCGTAGTTTCCGGGTTTTTTCTTAAACGAGTCGTCACACTTTGAAGGCCGATAACCTTGTCCAGAGATCTTATTTTGGTTAACTTTTTATAGCATTGTGCAGAGGACATTGTAAACTTTTAATTGATACCAAATAGAGCTTCTTTGAATAATCCAGTCCAAGAAAATCAGAGCCAACTTTGAGCAAATGAGTCCTATCCAACGCGGGTGTTGTGTCGCCTTGTTTGTATGGGAATGAAAAATCTAATTAATCTTTATTTGGTATCATTTGAAAGTCTGAAATGTTCTCCGTACAATGATATAAAAAGTTAACCAAAATATGTTCTCTGGACAAAGTTATAGGGCTTTGAAATGTGACGACTCGTTTAAAAAAAACCCGGAAACGACAGTCAATAGATAAATTTGATATAGATCAATTACTGTAGAGCTTTTTTTTGACATGAAATCCTTGACTGAGTCTTTACTTTTTTGTGTTGAATTTTATCACAAACTCTTGATGAATTAGATAAATAAAGTTTTTTTGACTACTTGATTCTATATAAACTATTTTCTTTACAGTTTAGTAAACAAGGATACTAAAGAAGTCTTTTTGTGGAAATTTGATCAATCTCTCCCTCTTTTTTCGAGATTTATCCAAAGTTAATCCCACGGTTAGTTCAAGGAGAGGTTCTTTCGTTTTAGAAATTCCAGTCACCTCTAATAAGTTTGGGTGTTCCAATAAGAACTGTCAAAATTTGGAATCGACTCCGCAGAGTTTTGAGAGAGTCCAATAGTCTCGAAACATTTAAATTCTCTGTAGATGATCTTGATCTTGAAGCTCTATGGATCTGTGGATCCTTGACGTTATCTGTGCTACCCATATATTACATATATTATATCGTGTTGCTTTTTATCGGCCCTTTTCGTGTTATGTGTTAATTAATGTGTTTTAATCTTAAATCTAGCGCGCTTTATCTCAGGTCCTGAATAAAGTATCTATATAATCTAAAGACACAAGTGTACTTTGTTATGCACAATCTAGTGTACAATCTAGTGGCTTTCTGATGCACTTCAGGTTTTGCAAAAAATCAACTACTACCCCGCAAATCACTCTCTAAAAAGTTTGTCTAGATTTTGCTTTAGATCAATCGGATTCTTGTATCCAATAGCTTTCTTTTTATCTTTTCCAAATCTTTCTCCTTCTTTACCATCTGTATTTTCATAAGCATTCTTGTTTTAATCTGTTTATATCTTTAGTTCACCACGAGAACTACCACAGATGGTCTTTTTTTGTCCAAAGGAAACACCGACCCTTTCTTGTCCAAATGTATCCAATTTACGTATACAATCTTGCACACATCTTGCTTCTACAGTTCTTTAACAGTACCCAATATCTTCATCGCATTTATTCTACTTTTATCTTTAGAATTGCTTTATTGTTGTTTCAACAATCACCAGTCTTTGTTTTTTGCGACTACGCGACTGTACGAGGGGGAGTGGGGTACTATTACAGTATCCTAGGAATTGGGTATCCTAAGTTCGGTAAATTTGCATTTTAAATACGGCGATACGGAACAATTTTCATTTTAAATAGTCGCCAGTCACCAGCTAGCTTGCTTATCTGAAATTCTATGCATTTTCTTGAATATTATTAACTCGTGTTTTCTAAAACATCAACTTCTAGAAAATTACCGTAATCTTGTCTTTTTCTAATCATTGCTAAGTAAATTAGAATCAAGCAGAAGTTTAAGCAAAGCTATAGACGGCAGAAGATAGTTTTAGATCGTTGACAGATTTAGAAAACTTTAAAGAGAATAGACTTTGATCTTTGATAGACTTTGATCTAAAAGCTATAGTGCTTTGTCAACTGTCACCTTTTATTGAACGATCTTTTTAAGCAATTTCCGTTAAAATTTCATTATAACAAGCTTCCACTTTTTTTACTAATAAATCAATTCTCAAGTCCTAATTGTTGCACTTAACATTGATTCATTTAAAATTGACCATTTCCTATTGAATGATTCACTTTATTGAGGCTCTCTTTTCAATAGATGAAGCGATAACAGAATTTCTTTCAATTCTCTTTTCAATCAACATCCAATCAATTCTCAAGTCCTAATCTTTGCACTTAACATTGATTCATTTAAAATTTGCCATTTCCTATTGAATGATTCACTTTATTGAGGCCTTTCCTCTTTTTCTTTGATGAAGCGATAACAGAATGAATTTCTTTCAATTCTCTTTTCAATCAACATCCATTGAGCCAGCAAATCGCAGCTGAATTCAAAAAAATCATTGAATCGATCCACCATTTGCCTCTTTCCTTTCCTTTCCTTCTGTTTAGCTTTACAGAAAGCTCACCGATCCACCATTTGCCTCTTTCCTTTCCTTCTGTTTAGCTTTACAGAAAGCTCAATCTTCACCTCTTACCAGAACTAAACCTAGCTTCAATTGTTCTTTGTAATGTACTTTATAATGTACTTTGTACTCACAAATCAAACACACCCTCTCCAGCACACCAGATTCTTCATAATCATCAGCTTTCATCAGCTTTTGCTTTCATCACAGCTCAACTTTACTTAAGTTATCCAATCTTCAGCCCCAATTTCCTTCCCTACCAAACCATAGCTTTAATTTAATTAATTTAACTATTCACTTTGTTCTCTAGAATGTACTTTTTGCTCACAAATGTACACATTCTACATTCTACTCTGGCGCTCTCTTCTATTTCTCTTCCAGCGTTGAGAAAAATGGGAGAATCCAGTGTCCCAGAAAAGCTGTATTTCCATTTTTGAGTATACATTTAACTAAACAACAAAATCCTTACAGAGATGTTTGTGCAAATTTTTCAAATGTTTGCGGAGACGACCACTAAAGCAACTCGCCCTCCAATCACCACCACCACCACCGTTCTTCCCACAACAATCGCGACTTTTAGAAGTAAATTGAATTCGTAGGGTACTTGCTGAACATTACAATGCTTAGTTAATAGCCTTAACCGTTTAAATCTAACTCTAGCTATAAGTTAAGTACTTTCAAACCCTAGAAATGTCAAGCTCTAATGAGAGATCTTTTGGACAAATCAAAGCTTAGAATCATTCTAAAACTGAAATTAGATTTGATTGAATATTTTCAAGTATCTATTTGAATTGCTATGCTAAGCTAAACCTAAATCATCGTAAACCGCCTTTGTCCAACAATATCCAGAGTTTAAAGTCTAAACAAAAGGAATTTAGGCTGGTGCAACGATCAGATTGGTGCCATTCAAATCGCTGCTGGATGTCCGTTCACAGTCAAAGAAAAGTCTTGGGATGGGATCGCAGGCTCAATCATCACCTGGATCATCACCTTCATTCTTCTTTTAGCTATCGGCTATTTCGCCGGTCGTTCTTGCTTCCGGTGCCTCAGCCAGGTAGATTTACATTGAGCTTGAGCAAAAAAAGAGCATCAGAAACAATCTCGAACAATGCTTTTCTAAAACTACCGTAATCTTGCCTCAGTTTTTATCCAATCTCTTTCTTCATTTACGACAAAGCTCTAGTGGTCGTCTCTGCAAACATTTGAAAAATTTGCACAAACATCTCTGTAAGGATTTTGTTGTTTACGAGTAAGGGGATTGAATGAAATCTAGCAAGATCACAGTCGTTTTTAAAATTTTACACATTTTGGGAAGCATATTAGTCATGAGAATCAATCTAGATCCTTTAAATTATAGTAACTAATAATAAAGCTTACAAAGAACAATAAGAATTTAATTGCTCAAATCAGTTTTTTCTCAATTTCAATTTCGTAGCTTTATATTTAGTCTTTTACCCTGATCGGAAGTCTTAAATTTCAATATCAATCTCCAAAGTAAAGAAGTAAGGCAAACAAGTGAATACTTCAAACATCTTATCAGATAAAGATCAAGAAGTGCATCAAAATTTGATGAAACTTTTCACTAAGCCTTTAGAAAAGGGCACGATGCCATTCTTGTGGAATTCAAAAGTTTTAGGCATGTCGCAAGAAGGGCAAAGCATCACTGGTCAATCGGATTGGTGAGAACGGGATGTCCGTGCCATGAACAAGGATCCAGCACTGGACAATGAAATATGATATTTAAAAAAAGATCATCACTTTCGCCCGTCTGTAACTCCCTTGTCTTTACCGTGTTTCTAAATATTAATATTTACCATTGTGTAGCCATTGAAAAGGGCTTTCAGAAAATGTATAACACTAATAGTTTAAACTCAAAGACAAGGGAGTTACAGACGCGCGAAAGTGACGATCTTTTTTCAAATATCATATTTCATTGTCCAGTAGTGTACTTTCCATGTCTAATTTTCAACTTTTCCCCATTTACTTTATGTTTTTAAAGATTTCTAACACTGAGATCTTATCTTAGTCTTAGCTAATTTATTATCTGTTTTCTTAAAACTTCTCCTTAACTACTGCACAGAGCTGGTCATTCTTTACTCGAATATTTTTTCTTTTAACTATCTTTTCTTGTAACTTCTTGTAACTTCTGTTATCTTTCAATGCTTATTTTGTGCTATCTTTCATTTCAATATTTGCTCAGCTGCCTTTTAATGATTTGCTTTTGAGATTTTTGTTTAAAAGACTCTATCTTTCAAATTCATTAATGCTGTCTATCTTTTGCTATGATAATGCTATCTTTTAATGAATTTGAATATATTTTTGTGTAATCTTTCAAAGCTTTTAAAGAATTTTTTGATTAAATATCTTTTCTAAAATAAAAACGACAAACCGTCTAGCGTGCCGAGATGAATGTCGAATGGCTTTACAGAAATAACAAGCCACCAAGCTGGCACAACAGCAAACTGTGATCAGAAAACAGATGAAGATCAACCACCTAAAGTTTTTAAGCTTTAACTTGTACAGTTTAAATTGTAGAATCTTTAAAATCCATCAGCTTACATCAACATTCTTGAGTCAAAAACCACACAAGCATATTGATTCTCTTTTCCATTGCATGAACTCACAAAAATGCAATCAGTTGGGCACATTGATTTACCTGAAAGTTAGATTTTAAAGAAAAATTAGTTATAGATTTGTAAAGATGCTGTAAAGAGCTTTTTTTAAAATAGATTTTGTTTACAGTCAGTCTAAAGTTTTCTTTAGTTAAAGCTGATTTTCTTGAGCTTTAAAAGATGCAGATTTAAGCCCTGTAATGGGATTTGAGGCTTCACAGCCTTTAAGGGACCACAATTTATAAGTAGCTCGTTTAAAGCTTCATTTTATGCGTATATAATCACTCACAAGCCTCCATTGTTCCATGGCAAACCTCAGCCGTCCCTTTTGATGTGTAAAGAGCACTGCCCATTTCGAAAGTTCGAAATATGTCTAAACTTTTGAAGTTTTGAAAAGTGTGCTTGTCGTAAAATAACAAATGATTGATGGGATCTTAAAATCAATGAAATGAATGGAAAAAGTGATGGACTTGAAACAATGGACAAAAAACAGGAATGGAATGGAATGGAAGGGAAAAGAAAAGAAGAAAGATGAAATAGAAATGGGTTAAAGCATTTTTCACATTCAACTAGCTGACTTTAGCGTTTTGATTTTAAAAACAAACTTATCAAAAGAATGAACCTTGAACAGATTTAGATTTAGATTAAGTTTCATTTTAAAATCAATACGCTAAAGCCAGCTATTTTCCGACCCCACATCAATAGGTTCTGATAAGTGGTTCTCGAGATTTCGCGCAACTTTAGCGTATTGATTTTAAAATCAAACCCTCTCAAATCTAAATCAAAATCTATTCAAAGTTCATTCTTTTGATAAGTTTAATTTTAAAATCAATCCACTAAAGTCAGCTAAAGTTGAATGTGAAAAGTGATTTAACCGACTTCCATTTCAGCTTTTAAAAACAAACTCGAAAAATCTAATTAAACTAAAAATCATCTGAAAATGAAACCAATCAAGAAAAGAATGAACTGCGAACATTGAAAGAAAACAGGAAAAGGATGGGGAATGTGCAGATCGGCAATGAGGGAATGAAATGAACGATCTCTCTGACGCATTTTCTCCATTTCTAGTTCTCATCCCATTTCTCCTCAATCTCTCACCTCACAACATCCCCGAAACTGGGTGTGGTAACCATTTTAAGAGGTTTTTTTTGTGTTTTTGACTGTTTCTCAATTTTTCTTCTTTCTCAAGTCTCTCATATTTTATAAATATGAATGAAAACGACTGATTTTTATATAATTCTATTCAGTTAAACATTTTCTCTGATCTTTTTTTCCTGATCAAAACAATTTTGCCTAGCCTAGCCTAGCCTAGCCTTACTTGACTTCGATCGAACATTCTTACAGGAAAACACACTCTATCCAAATCATTACTGCATATTAGGTTGTCGGGTTTTGAATGAGAATTTTTCGCAAGAGAATAAAGCTATTAAAGTTATTAGTTCAATTTGTACCATTAGATTACAGCGTTTTAATAATAATAAATACTGTATTTTTTCTAATAGTAGTGCACCCCGGCGAGCCGAGTTGATGACGATTTTACGGTTTCCAAGCTTTCGCAGAAGCTCAACACTTTAATCTCCCACTAGATCTCGTCGTCAGCTACATTTTCCGACCCCACATCGATCGGTTCTGATAAGCGGTTCTCGAGATTTCACGCAATTTATGCAACGCTCAGGGTGCACTAGTAATAGAGAAAATACGGTGATGAAAAGCTTCTGTTTTAGGAATTTTTCGTGGGCGCAAAGACAAGTAGTCAGAATCGTTAAAAATCGAAACTCGACGACAACTACCTTATTTTTGAAATCGATTTGGAATATTTTTTTTACTCAAACTTTTAAATAACTCTTTTTGTATATATCGGCAAATTTTTAGCTAAATCCATTCAGCCGTTTTTTCAGAATGTTTGAACAAATTTGAAACATTTAGAAAAAACGGCTGGATGAATTTGACTGAAAATTTGTCTAAAAATGTATAAATGCTGGGTTTTTCATTAGAGAAAAAATGAATGCTAACTTTCCATCGAAAAAGTTACCAACTAAACGATTTTAAGTGTATGTCTTTGGATTTCTGAGAAATTGCCAAAACTGAAGCTTTTCAAAAACGCTGAAAAGCCCAATGAACAAAGATTTTAGCTTTCTAATGATAAAAATCGGACTTATTTTACTAGCTTTGTTCTCTTGGAAAAAATATTTTCGCGAAAAATTCGCATTCAAAACCCGACAACCTAATATTTGATTTCTAAACTTTATGCTCTTGAATGGAAACATTTTTCTGACGTGCTTGAGAACTTATTTAACTTGTGTTTCTTTTGTTTTCTTTCAATTTCAATTCAATTTTCTTTCTTCTTGTGTCTTCTTTAATAATAATACTTTATTCAAACGATAAAGTGAAAGAAATCATAGAGAAATGCACAGTGATACTTAATCATACAATACATACTGAAATCAATAAGCCAATTACTTACGGCAAAGAGCCACTAGATCTAAAGCATCGATACGTTTCTTGAATATGAAAAGCGACTGAATTTCTCGTATGTCGTTTGGGAGCAAGTTCCATAATCTAGCGGCTCTAACGGGAAATGAATTTGATAAAGAGGCATTGGAAGCAAAGAGAATTTGCAAAAGGAATGAGCCACTTCTGGGCCCTGACCGCGGTTTAAATTTGAAAAAGTCTATAAACAAAGGGCTAATCTGTCGCATTCGCAAAAATTCGCATTCAAAACCCGACAACCTAATATTTTATTTCTAAACTTTATGCTCTTGAATGGAAACATTTTTCTGACGTGCTTGAGAACTTATTTAACTTGTGTTTCTTTTGTTTTCTTTCAATTTCAATTCAATTTTCTTTCTTCTTGTGTCTTCTTTCAATGAATAAAACTGAAAACTGAAATTTATTTACTTTATGCCCTTAAACATTTTTCATGGAAAAACATGGAAAAACATGAAAACATTTTTCTGGTTTATTTGAAAACTTCTTTAACTTATTTCTTGTGTTTTCTTTAAATGAATAAAACTTTATTCACACTTCACAAAGTGACACTTAAACAAAGAAATCTGTCTTGAATAAAAATGACCAAAAAAATTTCAATTCAAATATCAGAGATCACACCTAACGCACACGTTTCTTTACAAAGTTACAAGACTTTAAACTTTTAAACTTTTAAACAAAACACTTTTAAAACTATACCCAAAAAGAACTAAATTTAAAAGAACCTAATTAGAATAAAAACAAACTAGAAATCTATGTATTTAAATAAAGCCCGTAAATATTAAAGATCACATCACATTCACGAACATTGGATTGAAGAGAAGTTACTCTAAAGTTACTCTAAAGTAGAGAAGTTACTCTAAAGTTTCTTTATTGCAATTTTAAGCATATTTAGTTCGGCTGAAGAACTGGAATGTTACAGTATTTTTTTTTTGATTTTACTTTTTCAACTTAAAGCTCAAGAGAAAAGAAAGAATGGAAACTTAACAAGTAAGCGAATTTACTTGCAAGAAATCAAATTTCTGTTCTTTACAGAGAATCGACTTTCATGTCAGTTTTAGAATCCGAATTCTCGTCTCGTTTCGCTGCATTGATCACACAATTCTCAGCCAACTGTCGATATTCCCATTTCAAATTGGCGACAATTGAGCCGAGAGCTGAATGAGTTTTGGAAATGATTGGGACGAGAAGAAATTGATGACAAATTGCACACATTCGATAGAAACGCGATCGGAATGGATCGCTCACAGCCGGGCAAAGCGTGTTGTTCAGGTTGATGCCCGTATACTGAAATTAAGTATGGAATTAGTATTGAATGCTGAATACTGAATTACTTCATTAACTAATAAAGAAACCTGTACTGAATTGCTTTTGACTTTTTACATGGCTTTTGACTATTATAACTAGACTAACAATTTCTTGGAGGATAGTAATGAGCTTGAAACTTGCTCACCAAGTAAAGCTAACTTCTAGATACTCTAGATAAGCTAACTAGATTTTCTTGTTTTTGGATTCAAAAGCCTCATTGACTTACCAGTCCCATAAACTGAAGCACAACGTAATGGTAGAGAAGAAAGATGCACAATGCGAACACCGGCCAAACAAAGTCATCGGCACGTTCGGCCTCGAAAGCACCTAGAAAGTTTTTTCGATTGTGTGTATTGGATGTTAGTGATGGATTGTGTTTGGATTGTTTTGATGGATTGAAAGCCTGTGTTACCTTTATGATAGAGTAGATATGGTGGAGTGATGACGATTGCGATGTGCTGGATGTAGTAGATCAGAACTTCACCGGGAAGCTGAAAAGAGGAAAATCTGAATTTAGTTTTCTCATCTGGGATTGGGACCTATCCTCACTAAAACCAAATTATCTTGGTTTAACGGGCATCTAGAATTTCTAGCAACGATCAACCGGATTAGGGGTTCCAAATTGATCCCAAAAGTTTCGGCATAGCGAAGTCAAGGCGGCTCAGTCCTTCCCCTCTTCTTCCAATTTACGGGTTCGAAAAGGGACCAAATATCTATTGGGAGTGTGTGCTAGATGGAGAACAATTACGCGACTGCACAAAGAACACCTCACCAGTCATTTACATGAGTGAGTTCTCTTTCGAAGCTAGTCGAAAAAAGAAATTTGAGTAGTAAATTTGTACCCGAGGGTTTTCAGGGTCAGCGAATCAATTAAGCTATTCATTTCTTGAATCTATCAATTGGTATTGATCTAAACTTTTAGATTTAAATCTAATTAAGATCCCTTCTTTCTTCATTACTTATCAGAATTGGCTAAAAGGTACTGTTGACTGTAGCCTTTGAAATGTACCTAGTCAAGTCTACAACTTATCGATACTATTGTAGAAAGATTTCTTCATTCTTCCCCAAATACCAACCAATCTCGAGTTGAGCACTGGGAAGGCCAATGCGAAAACAGCGCCCGTCGAGAAATAGATCATCAAACGATAAATGAAACACTCTCTCTTTGATCGTCCATCCGAACACAATAACCACAATTGCATTAAAGTTGTCACATGACATGGATTTAGCAAGAAGATACCCGTTCTAAAAAGATATCTCTTTCATTTTCATTATTCATTCCAAGCTTTTCACTTACTTTGAAATAATTTTGTATGTAATCTCGGCACCAAAGATTAAACTGTAAAGCGCGAGCACCCAATAGCGAGACGAATCCTTTGGTTCACTTGTGAAATTCGTATCCAAGTATGGCCATAACTGAGATCAAATTGATCAAATTGATTGTAATTTCAAATTCAATTTTCATTTCAAAGCAGATTTCAGTAGTATTATCTACTATATGAAAACAAAAGATATCTGAATTAGAAGCCAACTTAAAGACTCACTCTGTAACAAAGATAGGAAGCAGCCGGCACAAAAATCAACGACTCCAGGTACTTTTGCCAATCCGGAATGAACTAAAAGATTTGAGTTTTATGTTTAAATGAAAATTGAAAGTTTAAATTGATCTCAATGACTGACCGACATACAAAGCGGTCCTCCATTTCCCTCAATCGAATGATTAACACCAGTAATTGCGAGATCCCAAAGAAACTCTTGGAATGTCATCGATTTACTCAAATTCACGTCCATTTCTTTTTTCTTTTCTTTAGTTAGATCATAGTTTTCTAAAAGAAAATGATATTGATTTAAAGAAAAAGAACGAAAATTCACGAAAATTAATTAAAAATTGAGAGTTACTCTAGTTGCAGATGGAGAAGACAAAATGATTGAGGGAAACAGGTGAAGTTCATGTGTTTCTATTACAACAAAAGTTGAGTAATTTCAAGAATTTCTTTTTACAAGTTTAACAGTGAAAGAGAATCGGCATTTTGAGGAGATCAAGTTAAACAAAGTTTAGGATAAAGTAAAGTTAGGTTCGGCTTTTCCACGAATTTCTTTAAGAATTTGAGTGATTTTCGTATTTCTGATTATGGTTAAAATAGCTATGAATCATTGTATGTTAGCTATCTTAAATTACCTATGGCGTTAATGTTTGGAATAGGTGGTAATAAAGAAGTCAAGGAATTGACAAGAAAAGGAGATTGAAGGGGAGGGGATTGAACCCTAGCTTTCCGGACAATTGCTCTAACCACTAAGTTATCCAATAGCTTAACTTACCAAGAGAAAGAGGGAAAGACAAGGGGAAGGAGAAAGAAAGAAATATATAAAGAAGTGAAGGAATTGGCAAAGATTTCCAGAGAAGCCATTGAACCTTCAAATAGTCTAAAAAGTACTTGTAAAGTTTGTAAAGTTAAACTAACAATCAAAAACAATTACTACACTCAATCAATCAATCAAAACACAAAACTTTTGTGAGTCTACATTTCAACGAGGTAAGACAACAAGAAATTTCTATTGGCAAATCTGTTGCCATGGAATTAATTCCTTTTTTTTCCCGTTTCTCATTTTCTTTTTGAGATCTCAATTCAAAAAAAAACTCTGAGAAAAAAGAAAAATATAATTTGCAGCTTCTCATGGCAATCACATTTTGGACTCAAAAAAAAAAAAAGATTTATTGGAGAGATACTGTAAAAGGAAATTTGGTTTTATCACTTTTTAAAAGAACAAATGAAAGGAAATTTCCGTTGGTTTCATTAGGCAATGGGAATGTAATTAGTCAAATTACAGAAGCTTTTCAAATTCTCAAATTCTAAAAACAACACTGCTAAACTTTTCAAAAAAAATTATTAAACATTAGTTTTTAAGAAAATTTTGATAGAATATTGTGGGCTAAATCAGGATTTTAATTTGCTTTAAGGCCTTGAGTCTGACTTTTGAAACTTTGGAAAAGTGGTTCAAAAGCCCGGCATGGACTGACACTTGATTCACAAAAATTCAATCTTTCTGATCTTAGCCAGAAGAAGATATTAGAAGCAAAGTCAAAAGCAAAGCAAAGCAAGCAGAGCAGAGCCAAGCAAAGCAAAGCAAGTCCAGATTAAATTCTGTTCCTGATTACCGTATTTTCCCTAATAGTAGTGCACCCTGAGCGTCGCCTAAATTCCTCGAAATCTCGAGAACCGCTTATCAGAACGTATCAATATGGCGTCGGAAAATGTAGCTGACGATGAGATCTAGTGGGAGATTAGAGTGTTGAGCTTCTGCAAAGGCTTGGAAACCGTCAAATCGTCACCAACTCGGCTCGCCGGGGTGCACTACTATTAGAGAAAATACAGTATTTATTATTATTAAAACGCTGTAATCTAATGGTACAAATTGAACTAATAACTTTAATAGCTTTATTCTCTTGCGAAAAATTCTCATTCAAAACCCGACAACCTAATATGCAGTAATGATTTGGATAGAGTGTGTTTTCCTGTAAGAATGTTCGATCGAAGTCAAGTAAGGCTAGGCTAGGCTAGGCTACGCAAAATCGTTTTGATCAGGAAAAAAAGATCAGAGAAAATGTTTAACTGAATAGAATTATATAAAAATCAGTCGTTTTCATTCATATTTATAAAAAATGAGAGACTTGAGAAAGAAGAAAAATTGAGAAACAGTCAAAAACACAAATTCTATATCTTTGAAAAGTAGAAAGATTTAATTAAGCAAATGAACCAAACACTTTCTCAATTCCTTTTATAGTCCATTTCAAAACTCATTTTGTCAATTGCAAAGTGAATCATAAAAGAAATTTCGATTTTTTGTGAAAAGAGAAAAGAGAAACGTATGTTCAAGAAGTAAATAGACAAAAAAAAGACAAAAAAAGACAAAAAACCTTCAATCTTATGACAAGAAGGGACAAGATTGCTACGTTAAATTCAATTTTGACATACTTTTTGCAAAAAAACGCTCACGAAAACCAAAAAAAAGCATATAAACTAGCAAAATTGCTAGGTAAATCAAATTTTTTACATTATCATTCTTTTTTTTATTGAAAAAAATCCTTAAAATACTTCCAAATTATGTAAAAAAAATCCCATTTTCACTTTAAAAAACCAAATAATAATTTAATTTCGATTTTCTGAGCTAAACATTGAGATTTGTAAATGTTTGATGATAGATTCTTAGATATCCAATGGTTTTTCTTGGTTTCTTTTTGCTTTAAATAAATTTTCAAGTAGCTACAAATGGCGATGAGGGAAACAGATGATTGGGGATTGCGGGAAGAGAACAAACGTTCACAATTGACAATTGCATTGACACAAACAACCATTTTAAAAGATCTTAATATAGCAAGTAAATTATTGAGAGTAGTAATAGCTGAAAAAAATTTAGTCTGCGAATTATGAAATTCACATTAGCATTCCAACGGTCCGCTAGTGCCTAGATTTATGGATTTTATCTTTTATATCTATCTATCTATTTATTGATATCCAGAATTTACCATACCATTTCAACCTGGTACTACCATCGATATCTTAATTAGAAGCCAAGATATCTTAATTAGAAGCCAAGATATCTTAATTAGAAGCCAAGATATCTTAATTAGAAGCCAACTTAAAGACTCACTCTGTAACAAAGATAGGAAGCAGCCGGCACAAAAATCAACGACACCAGGTACTAATTCTAAATAAAACTGTCGTCAGTCTAGGTCTTGTGTTGAATGGATGCATTTCTTGAAAATCTGCAAACTTGAGTAAATTCTAGAAAGACTCAATCCCTTTGATCCTATTTATTATAAACGAGAGAGTATCTGTCTGTTCAGCTTTAGAAAAAAGCGACTAAACCAGTTGGTCTAAAAGTTTGACATTACAAACTTAACTTTTTACGTAGTTTCATAAAATCCAAGAATACTTGGCAAATAACTGACTGTTTTTTCTAAAAAGCGAAATTAAAGAATACATCCTACCGCATGGACGACTCGTCCATGCGGTAGGATTTGTTAGGTTTGTAATGTCAAACTTTTAGACCAACTGGTTTAGTGCGGGACGCACTACCACTCGTCCAATATGTTCCTTCCAAGAATAAGGTTCCAATATGGTTCCAATATGTTCTTTCCAAGAATATGGTCTATGCGTAGCATGACGAGTGAGTGTCTGCGTTGAGCAACGTTAGACTCGGTTAGTATCAGGTTCAAAAATTTGTATAGAAATAGTCTTTGTATCTTTAGAAAACTTGGCTTGTAAATTACAGTCGAATTTCGATATAACGAATCGCTCGGGATCGAAAACTTCGATCTAACGAACCTAAAAAATGCCTCAAATTTTCTGCGTAGTTGCCCTGGACGGTCACTGCTTGCATTTGGCTGAAGCAGCTATGCAGAAATCTTGGGCACGTTTTCAGAATTTTAAGTTCGTTGTATCGATGTTCGACTGTAGTTGAAAAAAAGTTTATTTATGTGGGAATTATGAAATTCACATTAGCATTCCAACGATCGGCTAGTGCCTAAATTTATAAAGTTTTCATTTATCATTATATCATTTGAATCTGGTAAACAAAAATGTCGTTAAATTTTAAATTTATGTTGAATATTGTTAGCTTTATATTCTTAGAGCTTGAAAATCTGCAAACTTCCGGGTCGATGATGGTGAATTCTAGGAAAATTCAATCCCTTTCATAATAAGTAAAGATTGGGTCATTTTTTGATGACTTTACTTAAAAGCTTGCTATATAAAACTTGCTTTATTAAAGGCTTGCTTTAATAAAAGCTTACTTTATTAAAACCTAAACTTTATCTTAAGTATCAAAAAAAACTAAAAGAATGACTAAAAATAACCCCACATCACAACAAGCTGATGATAGCAAAACACGAAAGAAAAGCTTGTCTGATTGCTTTCCATTTTTGGGAAGATTTCGAAAATATCAACAACAACGTTGTGGACGAATGAGTTAAACTAAAAGTGCATTAAAAACAAAAATAACAGAAATATCGATGAAAGTAAAAGTCCAAGGAGGTCAGTCTGAGGCAACAATCATGAGAAGGCCCGATGGGGCTTCCCATCGGGTTTTCTAGAATGCGGGCCAGTCAGTTGCCTCTATCCATCCAAGGGAGTCCAAAAGAAGGGGACCCCATCGACCCGAGATGAGAGGATGGGAAGAGAGAAGGGATTGGGGTGGGTAGGCCAAGCCAAGCTGGGGTCTGCGGTGAGAGAACGAGAGTAGCGAGAGACATTCAATTCCTCGACGCGGAACAACGCCCGTCTCTCCCCTCCTCTCCTCTTTCCCAAGACAGCCATTCGATTTTCTTCTCTTTTCTCCCTTTCAAAGCTTCTAGACAGCTAATTTTATGTAAATCGGCGTTAACTTTTAGTTAATGAATTGGAAATGGTGAAAGTATTTAGAAAAAGTACAGAAAATTTGTTTTTTTAAACAATGAATGATTTGTTTAAATGAATTTGTTCAATTAGATAGTTGTGATTAGATTTCAAGGCTTTAAAAGATCAAGCCAATAAATTTCTATTTAATTTCAGAATCTATAAGAAAAATTCAGTAGAAAAGACAGTTTTCTTTTATTATTTATTTCATTTTGTAAATGAAAATGAAAGATTTACGGGTTTTAAATAAAAAAAAGGCAAAATCTCAAGAAAAGAAAGAAAGAAGAAGAAAGAAGGAAATATTTAAAGAAGTCAAGGAATTGACAAGAAAAGGGGATTGAAGGGGAGGTGATTGAACCCTCGACCTAGCTT